TATTGGTGATTGAATTTGTCCTAGAAATATTATCGTACGCAAGTACATGTAATTAGGACTTCAATCCAGTTTGAGGCGCATTTCACAACACCGATCATTTTCCCCACCTCCAGGCGAGTTACGAGGTAGAAAGAAGGCAAGAAGTCTGGGTGAATGCGTGTTCGCGTGTACCGAACGGAGACGTCATGGCCGGTGACAACAGCCTGGACCCTGGTATCCGCGTTGACCACGGTCATCTCCCTCTCCACCCTGTTCCAAGACGAATGGTTCGTCCGAGAGGCTCCAGGCCTTCGAGGTAGTTACGGTCCAGTCTACTTCTGCGACCGAGACATCTTCCTCTGTGTGACACACGTGGAACCAGAATCCGTGGCCTCGGCCAGGCAACTCACTTGTGTCCTCTACGGAGGCGGGGGCATCCTCCTCGCCATCTGTGTTCTCTTCGCGACATGTGTCTTTCTTCTCCCAAAGCACAGGTGGCGGCACCATATTTTCCGGCTCACCGGTCTCCTCCAGCTCATCGCCGGTATAATCTCCTCTATACTTTTTATTTTCGCTACCCAGTATTTTTCAACATAAGCCCTTAAGCCGTAAATAATATTAACATTAATTATTTAGTCATAATATATCAAACTTTTTTATAGGGAGAATACACTGTAAGAATTGTGCAGCAGCTCAAAAAAAAAGTAACTTCAGAAGCATTGGCGTAATCTCAGTTGATAATGATTGAGAGATTGAATAACGGAGGGGTTCTTGCATCACCTGTCACTGCTTTCCGCTCAACAGACTGAGGAATAAGTAAGATATACAATTAGAAACTTCTCTTTCCCTATTATGGTCTCTCATGCGTTCGCGTAAACTTTTCATTCTATAATGGCGAACCGGCCCTTCCTAGCGGGTCAGGAAACTCCATTCTCCGGGCATGATAACTTGTATCCAAGGAATTTCAAGGGAAATTGAATGCTTCCTCTGCTTCTCGTTATATCAACTCCATTTCCGTTGAGACATGGACGATAAAGTTGAAGTCTATATCCTGTTTATTGCCTTCTTCCTCTGATGGCATCTCGTAGAGGGAACTCGAGGACAGGAACTCGTAAAAAATGCCTTGCCTTAAACCTTAGAGTCTCATGTGAGATGCTTTCATTGAATTTCGTCAGGCGATAACCTTTCTCCCCCCCTCAATTAATATCGAGCATGGAATTACCAATTAAAAACGTATTTGCCCAGGGTAAATGGAAAAACAAGGAGTAGGCCGCACTTATTTCGTGTCTTTTCCTTTTCGGGCTCGGCAGAGCGGAATTTCGCTGAAAAGCAGGCACACTGATGGGTTTTTGCACTTTCCCCCAACCATTGTGTAGATTTGACCAGTCCCCGCTGGGGCAACATGCATTAGGTAGGCTCAAATTGAATTTGTTCATTTCCGCAATTGGATTCTATGGGAGCAACGCCAACTAGGTCAAGTGGATTCTCATAGGAAGCCAGTACGAATTTAAGCATAAATTTCAGTTTAGTCGATATGGTGCATGCCCCATTATATAAGGGCCCGGCCGCATTCGCCTCGCTGCTCTCGTTGGGCTCCCTGCACAGATGGTCTGGGGCCATTTATACATTGTCGATCGATACATTTGCAACTCAAACTTTGCATACTCGTTCATTAGTGTGACTTTGTGACAGGGAAATTGCATCCATCGCCTCTCAACGAGAAGTGGATTGCTCTTTATTTCGTGTTTACGCACGTAGTCATCGTGCTCTGCCGAGTCTGCTCCCTCTATTTAATATTTAATATACTGTGCATAATAAGATCAAATCTACACTTTAGCAAATCGCGATTTTCATATTTGAGCGACCCCCAAGCTCAGGAGTAACTGCATAATTCAGTCTTGTGTCTCGAAAACAAATCTATGATCAAATATGAGCATACGGGTAATAAGGAGCACAGAAACACGAGAGAGAAAATTTCAACCATTGCCTACAAAATATGCAGCATTCACCACTCGCCACGACACATTCGAGAAATCCATGGGAGTCCTGACGAGCTAAGGTAACAGGAAAAGGTTTAAAATGATTTTTCCTTTCATCTTAAAATTTTAATGCGCATCGTGAAAGCGTTCAATCCCTATACCAAATGTGAACCAAAATTAACCATGAGTCTGTGTGATCAACCGAGTGGACGTCTACTTTAAATAATCCAAACATGGGGGAAATCCATGAGTAGAAACGGTCATCATATCATCGAACTGCAGAGACTAGGCATGAACCTTGAACGCACATGTCACACACGCCACTTATGTGCTGGTCCACTAGTATTGAATTCGAGACAAGAAGGGGAGTGACGAAACGGTTGTCTCTCATTATAGACGGGATAGGCATTTCTCCGTTTTAGAGTGCCATTGATGGGGTTCGATTCACCCTTGACAATAGGAGTTTGACTGCTTGTTCAGATTGCAAGAGCAAATGTTAAAATGTAAAGGGGTTGTCCTTAAATACCAAATTCCTGGAGTTGAACTGCATTCATGTGGAGATCGGTTGATAGATCGAAGAAATGCCGCGATTCCGGCGTCGACATATTCGCATTGTGAGAAGCTAGTTTTGGGATTTCCAAATCCAAGTCGTATTTGCTTCCCTTTTTTTTTTATTTGCCTTCTCCTTCCATTCTTCCGTTGGCTTCTGTTCAAAACCCGCGGAAGACCCATTCCAGGAAACGTCAGGTGATAACACCGGTTTGGTGCTTCAGCTTTTCCATTATTATCTCGCTTCTTTTTTTACTCTTCCTCTTTTTATTTTTATTTTCTGATCCTCTTGCGACTCACCCTTTGAGAAGCAGTGCATTAGAGATACATTCTCTAGTCCTCCTCGTCTTCTCCTCGAAATCCACTTACCATTTGTCCCCATTCATCCCCATCTCAGTCTCGAAAACATGTCTGGAAAACATGTCGCGGATGTGGACAGGAAAGAGTGGACTAGAGGAAATTGCCCTATCGGAGGGGACGGGTCGTCCGTTTAGGATACAACACATAGGACCGCATGCAGCCGACACAATAATACAGTAGCCTACCTACGGCAAAAAAAGGGAGGGGGGAAGTAACCCATTGAGAAAAGGTTCATTCCATACCATTCTGCATTAGATCAATCCCTCCTCCCCCCCCCCTTTATTTCTTTCTATCCTTCCCCATGGGTCCATTTCAGTCTTATTATACCCTCCAGTCTATTGTGGTGGGGTCTATTCTCTCCCATCTCATGATGGAAAACCTCATCCAATCTCAATCGATTCTCTCCGGCTTTTCCATGCTCTAAAACGTGGGAGGATGATGATTATTGAAGAATCTGTCGAGGAAACTCTTTGGCACAGACACTTTTTTGTTATCCATCCACTCGATGTAAAATAGAATTCGTTGCCATGGCGATAATCTCTGGGAGGAGAAGAATATTCTTCTTTGCTCTCATTGTTGCCCTTTATTTGCACAGGGGGAAATCCCCATGAAAGACTCTATCTGCGGCTTTTCTCGCTTCCATTATGCCCCTTATCAGATGGAATGGAGAATTTCATGGAGGAGTCAAATGGGGCAACCGGATAAAAGAGCTGAAGAAGAAAGAAAGACGATCCCTTCATGGAGGATCATTGCCAAGCAAACCTCCCGACAGCGTTAATCGAGCTCGTAGTTCGTGCGCTCCATCGAGTCAGAGTAAAGTATTGAGTACTAACGAAGTTTACTACGTTAAAATTAAGATGACTTAGTTCTTGGGTACTTGTGCAATTGAAGGGCTGAAAGGAAAAGTATAGTATCTGCAAAAAACATGTTCGAGAAAAGTATAGCTGGTTTAGTGCACATAGACCCTTTTTCTTTTGATTAAAGATTTTTTTGGCACCCACGTAAGGGAGAAACTGGTCTTCAGCGCCCATCTCACTTATGAAATTGGAACATTCATTCTTTCCGCATGGAGCTCGAGGAAAGAATTACTTGCAGATAGATCACTTTTCCTTTCAACCCATCAATTATTGTCTCATTCCTAAGGAAAAATAACCAGGTACACCCCCGGCATTTTTAAGGTATTAGCCGTTCTTTTGGCTCATCTTTCATTGATCGGAATTCCATGCAGGGATCACGCTGAATTCCATATCTTCGGCAAACTCTATTCGCCTGCTTTCATTCATTGTACGATACATTAAGACTCTTTAAGGAGTCTCGACAGACAAAGGAAGTAAAGGTGGATGGGTTCTTCTTGTCGTTATTTCTCGACCGTTCACTTTCTTTGCAATACAAGTATTTTGACGTGTATCGTGCTGATTTCAAATTCCAAGATATACAATGCTGAATGCTCATAAGAAGGCACAATTAATCTTAATTGTTCTAAATTATGCTTAATTACTTTTTCCCCCTTGGAAAGAGTGTTGAGGTAGTTTGTATGTGCGTGTTGCAGTGATTCTTCAAGGAGTGGGGCTCATCCTTTTCCCGTTGTCCTTGGACTCGTCGGCGGCAAAATGGATCTGCGGCCGGGAGTCGGCTGGCTATCGGCCCGGAGAATGCGGGATCGGCTGGGCGTATCTCGCATCCCTGTTCGCCACGCTGAATGCCATCTATTGCCCCATTCTCTCCCGGCTCGCAGTCTATCGAGTCTACGAACCCGACGAGGATCCCTGGTCCAATCTCAACTTCATGTGATCTCTTTTGTCACTCATCCGCCTCCGCTTTCGGCAAGCTTATTATCGGCATCATTTCGTGTATTCTGTGCTTACGCACCCACGGATTTTCCAGAATGAAATGTTTTTCGAGGTTTGTCGTATTCTGGGTAGTTTCGATTGAGGGATTACACGATCGTACAAAAAATAATAAAGCCTGACTCATTATTTTTAAAAGAGAAAAATAACAGATAAGAAACACTGCCTGAGGATGAGGAAAACAAGAATACATTCTTCAATTCTTTATTGCTCCAATTTTAGGGGGGAGGGAAGGGAATAATCCAGAAAAGAAGTAAAACATGTCAAAGGCGCAATAACCATGGTGTTAACCGTGTCCAAAACCTCCATGGCCATGACCACCTCCGTGGCCGAAACCTCCATGGCCATGACCACCTCCGTGGCCGAAACCTCCATGGCCATGACCACCCCCGTGGCCGAAACCTCCTTGGCCGTGACCACCCCCTCCACGTCCAGCATAGGGATCAGCCCAGGCATCGGCATCGGGATCGGCCCAGGAATAGGCAGAGATCATGGCAACTATGGCCATGAAAAATATCACCCTCGCCATCTACCCAAAGTAATATGCATTATGAGAAATCGAAGAAATCACAATTTGAACAAATTCAAACTGCTGCGAAATTGGAGGAAGCAGGAAGGAAAGTAACGATGAAAGAAAGTAAAAATGTATTTTCCTCTATCCTTTGTGCCGACATGCAGGTTTACTGTCAAGGATCCAAGTATATTCTGTATCGTCATAGAATATAATCGCCATACTAAATAAGGGCATTTGGACATAATGAATTCCATACTTCAAGAGAAAGGAAATAACGAGAGCAAAAGTCTTAGAGAAATTAATAAACTATGTTGAATTAAATTTATTTTTCAATGGTGCATTCAATATGCAGGAAGGGTTTATTCTAGCACTTTGTCGAAAGAATGTATACTGCCCTCAAAAAGTCTTGCAACACTTTTTCGTGATCGAAATTCTCAGCACCTATTGCAATATCGGCGAAAATTGTTATATCCTCGGACAACTTAATCTGTTAAAAATCGTAGTACTGCCAGTTCTCTGTGGGAGGAAAAAGCAATTTTGAGTATAAAGTAATCCCTTGCCAACCGCAGTTTCGAGTTTCCGCGGTTAGCGAAATGAATACCGTTTTACCAACCGCGGTATGAGGTTTCGAGTATCCGCGGTTTCAGGCGCATACTCATTATTTTTTGCTGCAACAGTTTTTCTTAAATCGGAATAACATTGATGTATTTTAACAGAAGAACAACTATACTTACTATTTGTTTAATTCAGCAATTTTATTTTTTTATTATTCGTAACATACAGTATATTCCAAAAAGAGGTGAACTCACAAGCTTCATATTGCGACCACTGGAAGAAATCCCTTCAATGTCACAGTAGACTCAGCAAGAACCCCAGACGAATGAGCCTTCGACGTGGGTCACCCCGATATTTAGGCAAAGCGGATGATGAGAAACTCGCTTCAATCCTCTGGGAATTAGGTTGAGGTCACTCTCCCGACCGTGTCACAATTATTGCAAGTTTGGAGTAGGCTCGGAGTTTTTATACATTTCTTCTACTGTTATCTCCTCTACTGCTATTGTGTCTTTCATTAGTCCTTGGCTCTTTCGGAAAAGAATCCGCGATACCATGAGAAAACACTTTTTAAATCTGAGCCGCCATCCTGTTTTCCAATTGATAATCATTCTCCCAGTTCCCATTCTTCCCATGAGCGTTTCCGCCACTTCTAAGCGGAGGCGATGCCTTAATGTTCCTGCAACCTTCCAAGCGTGGATTCAAACTTGCCTCCTTTGAACTTACAGCATGTAGACATAGGATTGTTTACCTATCCATGCTGCTCTAACATCAGATGCTGGGAAACAACTTCTATTTGTGATGAGAAAGCGTAAGAGAGCGCTGGCTCACGTGTGCCTGTCTCCCTGCTTCGCGCCTCAACTACTGATATCGTTATAAATCGCACGTGGCATCTGTGAATAGAAATGTCACGAATCGTACGGAGTTTTAGAATCAATTTCGTTATCAGAGGAGAGATGGAAAAACAATGTTCGAGCATGATCAAAAAGAAATACTCTCGCTCTGGTGTTGCGTTTCCAACTTTGTATCGATAGAGTTGGGATAGAATTCCCGAAATAAACCGTTTCTACCCTACTTCGTCCTATTTATTCGTCTCCCTAGCTTCCAAGTTTGAAGATGGAAACGAGAGCGAGGAAAGTTGGACACTCGATGAAAGAGCCTTGCAACGCCATCGGAGTCTCACTTCTTTCCTCTTTCCTTCCCCGTTATCGACCGAGTGCAACTGATTCTATTTAACCGTCTATTCAACCAGAGCTAGGAATCAGATTCAACTTCGGCTGCGTGATGCTCCAACCAACCGGGGATTCTCCTGCCCTTTCGAAATGAAGTCTAGGGGGAAGTGGGCATTCGGTAGGAGCAGCTGTCTTTTTTTTTTTTAGCTTGTCTTTTCTCATTTCTACAAAGGAAATTGCAAGGAAAATTGCACTTCGTCGCCTGTCTGTCGGTCTGCTATTGGAATATCTTTTATTACTTGGGTATTCTCGAACTGATTGGGTCTATCACTGACTTGAAGGCGTAGCTACTGAATGACTGAGTGTAAATATTTGGCAACCCTGTATGTCAAAACTCCCTTTTCAGTCAAAGTTGTCTGCAATCTTTTCTATTTGTTCGCGATGTTCCACGACGTCGGCAACGTTAGCGTATTCGGCTGAGTTTTGCAGCTGAACCGCTGCATATTCAGCGGTGAGGTTTTGCCGATAACTTCAATGATAAAGCCAGAGAATAATAACTCACATTATTTTTCAAAGACAAGAAGAACAGATAAGAATCACTGCCTGCGGACGAGGAAAACAAGAATACACTCTTCAATTCCTCATTGCTCCAATTTGAGGGGGGAGGGAAGGGAATAATCCAGGAAATAAGTAAAACATGTCAAAGGTGCAGTAACTATGTGTTAACCGTGACCAAAACCCCCGTGGCCGAAACCTCCTCCGTGCCCTCCGTGGCCGTGACCACCGCCAAAACCTCCGTGGCCGAAACCTCCTCCGTGCCCTCCGTGGCCGAAACCTCCTCCGTGCCCGCCGTGGCCGTGACCACCGCCAAAACCTCCGTGGCCGAAACCTCCTCCGTGCCCGCCGTGGCCGTGACCACCGCCAAAACCTCCGTGACCAAAACCTCCTTGTCCGAAACCTCCTTGTCCGTACCCGCCAAATCGAGCTTCGGCATCGGGATCGGCCCAGGGATTCGCAGAGATCATGGCAACTAAGGCCATGAATAAGATTGTCATCATCTATAAAAACCCATGAATTATGTGAAATTGAAGAAATCCCAATTCAAACAAATACAAACTGGTGCCAAGTGCGCGGAAGCAGGAGGGAAGGTAAAGATGAAAGAAAAGAAAAATGTATTTTCCTTTATCTTTTGTGCCGACATGCAGGTTTACTGTTAAGGATCCAAGAATATTCTGTCTCGTCATAACAAGAATAGCCATAATAAATAAGGGTAATTTGGACATAATGAATTCCATGCATAAGGAGAAAGGAAATATCGAGAGCAAAAATCTTAGATGAATGAATATACTATGTTGGATTAAATGTATTTTTCAATGGTGCATTCAATATGCAGGAAGGGTTTATTTTATCACTTTGTCGAAAGAATCCAAATGCGAATCAGTTCTGCTTGACCGACCCTGAATGGAATCCGGCCGAATTTGGAGACCCATTATCGCCTTTCATATTCGTTTAGTCAGCCAATCAACCATAAACTCTACAGTTGATGACACCTCCGCATGCGATGGCCAGGCAGAAGTATTAAACTTTACAGAAGGGGCTCATTTCCGTGGTCTGCATGCTGCCACGCAATTATTAGATTAGGATTAGGATTAGGAGAGATTAGGATTTTTTAAAATGAGGGTTTAAACAACTCCTCGAAGGGTAAACCAATGGGAAAATCTTTTCACACTCAGTTTTATACGGGAGGAAAAAACAATTTTGAGCATAAATTCTGAAAGGGGTTAACTCACAAGCTTCATGATGCGACCACCGGAAGAAATCCCTTCAATGTCACAGTAGACTCAGCAAGAATCCCGGACGAATGAGCCGCCGACGTGGGTCGCCCCGATATTTACGGCTGATGAGAAACTCGCTTCAATCCTCTGGGAATTAGGTTGAGGTCACTCACCCGTCCGCGTCGCAGTTCTTGCAAGTTCGTCGTAAGCTCGGAGTTTTTATGCATTTCTTCTTCTGTTATCTCCTCTACTTCTATCGTGTCATTCATTAGTCCTTGGCTCTTACGGAAACGAATCCGCGATACCCAGAGAGACACTTTTTATATCTGAGCCTCCATCCTGTTTTCCTATTGGTACTCCTTCTCTCAATCCCTCCAATGAGCGTTTCCTCCACTTCTAAGCGGAGGTGATGTCTTCATGTTCCTACATCCTTTCAGACACTCTTAGCTACTCTGAAAATGGAGTAACAAAATCTTGTAATTTTTTTAAAATATTGAATAGGAGTAACCTATGGAGTAACAGTGGAAAAATTGCATATAAAATGTTAGAAACTTGGAATTAAATTTTTTTTATGTCCTGGCTTGTTCATAAAAATGAATATTCTGTCCTGAACTTCGTCAACATTTCCGAGAACTGTGACATCAAGAGTAACATCAAGAGTAACATCAAGATCACTATCCAGTTCATTGGAAATTTGCCCCCAGAGATGTTGGAGCTCCGAAGATTGCTTTCCTTTTATATGAGCACACCAGTGCATAAAAATATTTAATTCCAAGTTTGTAACCTTTTATTTGCGATTTTCCACTGTTACTCCGTAGGTTACTCCTATGCAAGAGCAACAAATTACAAGATTTTGTTACCCCATTTTCAGAGTAACAAGTAAAGAGTGTGGATTCGAATTCCCTGCTTGTAGCCCAAGAATTGTTTACATATCCACGCGATTCTGATACCAGATGCTGGGAAACAACTTCCACGTGTGATACGAAACCATAAGAGACCCTGGGCCCACGCGTGCCTGTCTCCCTGCAAAACCCATCAGCCGCTGATAATAGAATTAATCGCACGCGCCAACCGAGTATAGAAATATCAAGGATCGCACTGACTTTTAAAATTAATTACGTTATCAGAGGAGAGATGGAAAAACGATGCTCAAACATTATCGAAAAGAAATACTCTCGTTAAGGTGCAGCATTTTCAAAATTTGTCCCGAAATTCGGTGGTTGTAGCGATATTTTTCGCGCCGGAACCCCGAGTTTAAATCCCTCATGCCATCCGGTCGATGGCGGTGAGATGGAATTCCTCCGAAATAAAATCGGCCGACTTCGTCCGATTTATCGTCGCTCTCAAGTTTGGAGATGGAGTCGAGAGAGAGGAAAGTTGGACACTCGATGAAAGAGCCTTGCAAAGCCATCGGTGTCTCACTTCTTCCCCGTTATCGACCGAGTGCGAATGATTCCATTTAACCGTCTATTCAACCAGGTCAGAGTCAGATTCAACTTCGACAGCGTGCTGCTCCAACCAACGGGTTTCTCTTAACCTGTCGAGGTCTAGGGGGAGGTGGGCATTCGGTACGACCAACTGTTTTTTTTATTTTGTCTTTTCTCGTTTCTGCAAGGAAATTGCACGGAAAATGGCACTTCGTCGCCTGTCTGTCTGTTGACGCTGTGGCAGTGGAGTCGTTGAATATCAAGCGGATAAATTTTTTTGTGCATGGATTCCTCACCATCTGAGAATTTTCCCTCTCGTGGAGGAAAAACTAGCCATCGTTTTCCTTTTTTACGAGAAAAACTTCATATTCACAGGGGAACATTATATATAACTAATAATAATAATAATAATTGTAATAAAATTACGCCTTGGTGGGTTGCATGAAATCTGAGGAATGGGCACGAGGCCCGCCACCTGGCATTCACCCGGGCAAACAACGGTTTCCAAGACAGAAGCGAGATGGCGCACAAAGCATCGCCGAAACGACTCAAAAGTGCTTCGATTGAAGCAACCTTTTTCGCCAGCATTTCCCAAAAGTTGCTGGATCATCTTGTGCTGCTCGGGTGATTCTTGGACTGATTGGGTCGATCGTCGACATGCAGTCTACTGTACGACCGAGTGCAAAAATTTGGCAACCCTGTATGTCAAAACTCCCTCTTTATTTGCCTGCATGAAATCCTTCCAATTGTTTGCGAAGTTCCACGGCGTTCGCAACATTAGCGTATTTGGCCGCGTTTTGCTGCTGAACTGCTTTTCGTCGATTCTACGAAGGTTCATATTTCCTTGCAGGCGTCTCGGCAGCTCAATGATGGATCGACCCCCCCCCCCCTTTTTTTTTCTAACGACGCTAATTAATGCATTAGATTCCAAGGTGATGGGCGAAGCCTGAATCGTTGGAACCCCTCGGGGCGGAATTTCCAAAGCTCAATTATCACATTTCAATGGTTGGACTTCGTACCACTTCTTTGTTTCGAATTCCAGCGGATATTCGTTAGCAGTACTTGAAAGTCTGTATTTTATATATATTAAGTGAATACAGAACGCTCTACTTGAACACGAGTACTGATAATTTTTTTGGAGTACGTTCCTTTTTGAATTACGAAGAATTATTCACTTTGGGATTGATTTCGTATGAGGGGGGATTAAAAAATAAATAAATACAACTAAAATTAAAAAGGAAACGAAAAATAAACAAAAGGACCGAAATACCCGAATTTTTGCTCCCCTTTTCACTTCCTAATGTTCGAAAATACTGGCAGTTGGGCCCATAAGGAGTGTGTCTCGTCCTCTCCCCGCAGTCCTTGGACTCGCGACCGGGAGTCGGCTGGCCGTCGGCTGGCCGTCGGCTGGCCGTCGGCCCAGGGAGTGCGGGATCGACTGGGCGCATCTCGCATCTCCCGGATGTCATCCATTGCCCCATTCTCTCTCGGTTCGAAGTCTGTCGAGTCGACGAGCCCGACGAAGATCCCTGATCCGATCTCAACTTCGTACGATCTGTTTTTTTTTTTTTTCGATCGTCTGCCTCCGTTTTCGTCTTGCTGATTGTCGGCATCGTTTCATGCGTTCTGTGCGTATGAATCCGAGGATATTCCAGAATGAAGTGCTTCTGAAAATTTTCCATTAATTGATCGATCGGAGAGAAACGCAATTAGGGCCTTCAAGATTGCAGATGAACTCAGCTAATTTTTATTTAGTATTCCCAGAGAAAAAGAATAGCAGAACCACAGCGGAGACCTGAGGTGGAAATCCTGAATGAACTGATTCAACCGAAATGACCTGCGAAAAGGAAAAATAAAAATGAATTAATCGCTGGATCAAGGTCAAAGAAATGAAAAAAAAATCCAGGCAAAAACTAATGGAAAATACGATGAAGGGTTTGTGTTTACCACGATGGCCGTATCCGTAACCTCTGTATCCGTAACCTCTGTGTCCGTAACCTCTGTGTCCGTAACCTCTGTGTACGTAACCTCTGTGTCCGCGAAACCATCTGCGATGAGCTTCCGCTGTGGGATCGGCCCATGGATCGGCAGATATTAAGGCTACTAGGGCCATGAATAAAGTCACCACCAGCACCTAAAGAAAAAAAATACATGAGTTTATTCTCTTTCTGGCATTGTGATTTTGTAATAAGGTGTGAAGGACCTCACTGAAGGGCAAATCAATGGGAAAATCGTAGTATTGTCGGTTTTCTGAGGAAGAAAAAAGTTATATTGGGAGTAGATCATCGAGAGGGGTGAACTCACCAGCTTCATGATGCGACCACAGGAAGAAATCATCGAAATGTCCACAGCAGACCCAGCAGCGCAAGAATCCCGGACGGATGAGCCGCCGACGTCGGTCGCCCCGATATTTACGGCTGATGAGAAACTCGCTTCAATCTTCGCTCTGGGAATCGGGTGGGAGGCACTCGCTGGTTCTTGCGACTGGAGGCACAGGGTTTCCAATGCGTTTCTCTCGAGGTCTATTGTTATCGGGTGATTCATTAGTCCTTGATTCTTTCGGAAATGAGTTCGAGATACTTAGAGGGAGATTTTTTTTTTTTAATCTGGACCTTCATCCTGTTTTGGAATGAGGTCATTCCCTGCCAGCTCAACCGGGGTGAATGCTCGGGCGGCACGGATTTCCTCAAAATGTTCTGCATACGTTGCCTTATTTCGATGCAAAATTTAAGGGTACTCTAATCAGCAATTTACGAGACACTGGCCAAAATATTCTGGGAGAAAGCCAAAATTGGGAGCTGCTCCTAATTGTGTACTTCTTTACCATTGCTCCGATTCTGCTCATCCACTGCACAAATGAATTCTCCTAAATAAAAGCAGACGATGCAGAATAATTATTCATGTTTTATTTTAAACCTCAAGTTAAAGACATGCAAAGGTAGATTTTTTTTTACAAAGTTCCAATTTAGTGTGCAAACATCCTCATGTGAGTGATGTAGACTCAACGTCATCTTTTGATATATTGACAGATTCTCATCTTGTCTCTATGTTAATATGAGTTTCAGGTTTTGTCTTTGATCTCCACTCGCGGAAATCCGACTTGAGCCTTAAAATGGTACTTTCAAGTCCTTGACAATTTTATAATTTTACCCGTGTCTCAAAATTAATAGTTTTTTTCTCCTTTTTATGGCTGTTCCCATGTTTCTCCAAAGAATCCACAATAATTGAACATAAAAATATCAATAAATGTATGCTGTTTGATAACCAGAGCTGAAGTTGATGAAGTGGGAGAAACTTATAAGAATGAAATTGGTAGGACTTTTCATTAATCGAACAATTAACCAAACTAATCTGACTTGAAGCGATGAACCCTGAAGACCTAAAATTCAAGTTCCACATGCTGAAAACAAACATGAAATCATATTCGTTCATTTATTGCATATCCACTTTACTAAGTCTCTACTAAGCAAGAAGGAATCCGACCTGCTGAAAAACTAAGAAAAAACCGCTGAAAACGCTACTCCGAAAAATTCGATCGGATTTTTTTTTCTTCATAAATATGAAGTTAATCTGGACCGTTAAGAGCGCCACGCGGTATCCAAGCTTACCAAAAAGCAAGCTGGTTTCTCTCAATTATTTTTTTCCAAGGCGTTCTTGTGGCTATCATCAACTTCAAGAGAAAAAGAACGCTGAATTCCCATGCTTGTCGATCTAAATCGAAGGAACCTGCTGGCTAGGACTATAAATTAGGAATCGGAATGAAGATCTCGAATTTCAGACCTAATGTGCCCAACACCTTCAAATTTGAAGTTTTTAATATCAACCCGAATCAAGGAGTGCATGGTATGCATTGCCCCAAATAATGATAAATTGCACGAGAGAACATAAAATAGATCTTCGCAGTATGATTCACTTCGGAATAGGCTGGTTTCCCTAAAATAACACCGAAGGATGTCAGAACTTTTTGCTTTTACTTTTGCTTTATGTTGTTTTAAAAACCCAAAGACCCAAAAGGAGTGTGGCTCGTCCTCTCCCCGCTGTCCTTGGACTTGGGGCTGGAAATCGGCTGGTCATCTGCCTGGGGAATGCCGGATCGGCTGGTCATCTGCCTGGGGAATGCCGGATCGGCTGGTCATCTGCCTGGGGAATGCCGGATCGGCTGGTCATCTGCCTGGGGAATGCCGGATCGGCTGGGCCAGTCTCGCATGGGTCGTCTCGATCAGAGAGAAACGCAGTCGTTTGTAATAGATATACCTGAGATTATTTATTCCATATTCCCAGAGAAAACAAGGCACAGATCAGAACCACAGGACTTGAGACTGAAGTCCGGAATTAAACTATTCAACCGAAATTCCCTGCGGAAAGGAAAAACAATAGTGGATTCATCGCTGCTCCGGTCCGGATTGAGAAATCCGGACGAAAACAAATTTTTATAATATGACAGAGGTATTTACCAAAATGGCTGTGACCGTGCCTGTGACTATTGCCATGGCCATAGCCTCCGTGTCCATAGCCTCCGTGTCCATAGCCTCCGTGTCCATAACCTCCGTGTCCATACCCTGCTGAAAAAACCTCATGAGAATCTCAAAAGGGAACCTCATGAGATTCTCATTAGGTTTTCTCATGAGAACGACCTCATGAGGTCTGAAACAGATATCTCATGAGGTTGACTTCATGGGGTTTTCGCATAGAGGTGCCACTTGCCACGAAAAGTCTCTTGGGATCAGAGCGGCTATACAGTCGCCATCTCGCGTCGTTTGTGCACTGCAGAAGAAACCTCATGAGATCTTCATGAGGTTTTCGGACAAGCGGTCTCTTGAGGTCTCATGAGGACGTTTGATGCCTCATGAGGAACCGCACAATTCTCATAAGAAGGTCGTGAGACCTTCTTAAGTACCTCATGAGGATTACATCATGAGGAATTTCTCATGAGATATTCGGTCAACCTCATGAGAAGGTTGTGAGACCTCGTGAATTTCCTCATGAGATATTCGGACAACCTCATGAAAAAGTCGTGAGATCTCATGAGAAAGTCGTGAGGTCTCATGAGACCTCATGAGTTTGAAGTGAGGTTATTTCAGCAGGGTAACTTCCGTGCCCATAACCCCCTCCGCGTTGAGCTCCGGCAGCGGGATAGGGCCGGGGATAGGCAGAGATCATGGCCACCAGGACCATGAATAAACTCGCAATCAGCACCTAATGATGGCTTTAATAGCCATCATTCAAATTGGGGGTACTTAGATAACGACATCGCGGGGAACCAAGTCATGGACTGGAGCTCCCAAGAAAATCTCCAGATAATCTTCGATCCCAAACAAAGAAGATCGTTCCACTCAGCTGCTTGGAAAAAGGACTATCAACCAGATCTATGTTTTTCCACTTCCGATCAGGACAATATCCCTCTCCCAGTAGCTGTGGCAGTTCTAGACGATTTCCCTCACTCTCAACACCGACCAATTGTATACCGCATTGGTCTCTCCATCCCAACGACTGAAGGAATTCCCAGACTACGATGGAACTTCCGCAAAGCTGACTGGACCCTATACTCCGACCGGATCGATAAAACCATCAACAGAATCCCGCCCATTCCGGATAATTACGGTCGTTTTTGCAAACTTGTGATCTTGTCAGCCAAGAAGGCCATCCCCCGCGGATATCGTCGATGGCACACCCCTGGCTGGACCCCTGAAAACCAGGAATTACTAGACACTTTCCACCATACTCGGGACCCATTCGTAGCCACCACTCTCCTGAGATCACTCGACCTCACAAGGAGAGAAAGATGGAGATCCGTTATGAACGAGCTCAACTTCACCTTCTCAAGTCAAAAAGCCTGGAACCTCCTAAGAAAACTTCAAGCCCCCAAACCCCCCCTTCACGTTCCTATCAAGGTCTCCCCTGACTCCATTGCCACCCGTTTACTCCTAAACTCCAAATCCGGCTCCTCCCCCAAATCCTTCATCAAAAATATCAACAAAGAAATCACTACTCTTCGCCGTGCCCACCTTACCCCCTCCTCCCTTGCTGACCCAATCTCTCTTGAAGAAGTAGAAGAAGCTCTCCAAAAAGTCAAAAGCGGAAAAGCAGCAGGCCCTGACCGCATCCCATCAAACCTACTAATAAACCTGGGCCCAGCCGCCAGGAACTGGCTCGCCAAACTCTTCTCCAACATCATCCTATCAAACTCTATCCCTAAAGTCTGGAGAAAAGCCATAGTTCTCGCCATCCCGAAACCCAACAAACCTCCAGATGACCCCAGCAACTTCCGCCCCATATCACTTCTGTGTACTACCTACAAGCTAATGGAGAGAATCCTTTTAGAGCGAATCTCCCTCCCGATCGCCCGCTTGATTCCCCCTGAACAAGCTGGTTTTCGTAAAGGCCGTAGCTGTTGCGAACAAGTCCTGGCCCTCACCGACAGAATTGAAGCAGCCTTCCAAACCAAGGATAAAGTTGCCGCGGCTTTTTTAGATCTTACCGCAGCCTACGATACGGTTTGGAAGAAGGGACTTATACTGAAACTTTGGAAGTGCCAGCCCTCACCGACAAAATTGAAGCAGCCTTCTAAACCAAGGATAAAGTTGGCGCGGGTTTTTTAGATCTTACCGCAGCCTACGATACGGTTTGGAAGAAGGGACTCATACTGAAACTTTGGAAGTGCCTGAAGTGCCCACGGCTGGTCAACATTATTAACACCTTGCTGTCGGACCGTTCTTTTCAAGTGGTCCCGAACGGTAAGACCAGCCGTACAAGGACGCTCATCAACGGCCTCCCCCAGGGTTCCGTCCTGGCGCCTACTCTTTTCAACCTGTATGTGTCTGACTTCCCCCAAATGCAGGGCAGCTTTTACCAATATAGAATGGTAAGACCAGCCGTACAAGGACACTCATCAACGGCCTCCCCCAGGGTTCCGTCCTGGCGCCTACTCTTTTCAACCTGTATATGTCTGACTTCCCCCAAATACAGGGCAGCTTTTACCAATATGCCGATGACATTGCCATCCTAACACAAGCCCCCTCTATTCAGGAAGCAGAGGACATTCTCAATGAGGACCTCGAAGTCGTCGAGAACTATCTCATCAAATGGAGATTAACACCAAACCCACAAAAATCCATCGTGTCTGCCTTCCACCTCTCAAACAGGGATGCGAACCACCCTATTCAAGCTAAATTCGCTGGCTCCATTCTTTCCCATGATCCTTATCCAAAGTACCTGGGTGTGACTCTAGATAGAACCCTAACCTACAAACCACACCTAGTAAAATTGGGTTCCAAAATTAGAACAAGAACGAACATCATCCAAAAACTGGCCGGCTCCTCCTGGGGCTCAGACGCTCACACCCTCCGCACCTCTGCCCTGGCCCTAGTATACTCGGCAGCCGAATACTGCGCTCCGGTATGGTCTCGAAGCTCCCACACTCCTCGTATAGACACTCAATTAAACCAAACCATGAGGACTATCTCCGGCTCCATCAGATCCACCCCTATCGATTGGCTCCCTGTCTTGTCCCATATCGCCCCTCCCCATCTAAGGCGACAAGAATCTACCCTCAAAGAATACAGGAAGGCCAATCTTCCATGGGAAACGCCCATCCCCATCCAGTCTGAAGTCCTCAGACCACCTCGAACACGCCTAAAATCCAGAAAGCCCTTCTGGACCGAGGGGAAGAATCTCCTGGACCAGGATTTCAACACCTCCGACGCCTGGAAAGATTCTTGGCTAAAGAACCCTCCAAAAAACGGTCTTTCACTCATCGAAGACCCAACAGTGGAAGTCCCTGGCATGGACCTCCCCAGGCGAGAGTGGATCACCCTCAATCGCCTCCGCACTCTACACGGTAGATGCCAAGACTCTCTCTTCGTATGGGGCCTTACCAACTCCCCACTCTGCCCATGTGGTGATAACCAAACTATTAATCACATCGTGAATGAGTGCTCTATTTTTTCCTTCCAAGGAGGTTTCCCGGACCTACACCGTCTCACTGACGAGGCGTTGATTTGGATCCGGAACCTCCCTTTCAACCTGTGACTCTATCTCCTCTTTACTCCTCCTCTCCTCCTTCTCCCGGGCGCTGGCACCTGCAGGGCGCAGGGATCCTCTACTCCGCCTATCCTCTTCCATCTAGGATAATGTGCTGTATAATATGTCATACGAATAATAATAATAATTATTTCAGAACATTTTCAAATAAATCAATCAGTCTCAGTAATCAAATCATTCAGCATAAAAAGGAAATGAGCCATCAACACATCTTTGTTGAAACGATTGCCAGAAACCTCCCATATCATCACCCTCTCCTTCCTATCTTTCATCACGGCTCCAAGATGCTTACACGAATTCAGACCTGGAGCTACATCAGGATTTTTTCAATAACGCGGCGGTCTAAATCCACCATCATCCTCCACCAGCTTGTCTTGGGTGGCCAAAGCGCGCATGCACGGTGCTTTGTCGTGGAGGAAAGTCACTCGAGGTGGGTCCAAGACTTTGGATGGATCTTAAAAAAAGAGTAACATTTCTGGACTTTATCTCATTTCGGAAATATTCCCCATCCATCCAGCTCTGACCAATCGGATTGACGACAAGCAAGAGCTCCATTACTGCGTGTGCACACTGTGCGGAAGGCAATGGTCCGAATTCGGTGACACGTAATGCTCACTTTCACTGAACTTTCTAGCCTGGACACTTAGATCTCTGAACTTAGGGATGTGAGTAATTTTTTAAACCGAGAATTCAAAAGTACTACTCGTTTACTTGTGCATATCCTGGTGTAATGGCTGGGGAGGAGAGAGAGAAAAATGTATGTTTGTTACGCCCCGTACTTTTTGACCTGAGAAACAACGTGATTCAGCGAAGCCAAGGAAGAGGATGTTCAGACTTTCACCGCCTTGCAGATCTCCTCCCAGTCGATATTGATTAGTCGTTATCGGCTCGAATGGAAGAAGGTAATTCGGGAGATGACATCCTCGGATCTCGACGCTCCTCTCTATCAACTCCGCATGCAATCCCTTCTCTTCTTTCGTATCTCTGTCATTGGATCACTGTCAATTACACAGTTAAAGGGACCATCATTTCTCCTGTCTATCTCGTGCAAATTCACCGTATAGCCTATCCTATCTTCATGCTGCTACCGTCTCACACGGCAAAGCAACTCAGATCTATTGGATCTGGACAAGCAATGCCCAGAAAATCCGTTAATTTAGCAAAGAGAACCTTCAACAGTTAGAATAATTGCGTGGCAGACCTTTAATGGTGTAGTATATATGCTATATTCACAACCAGGAAACAGAACAATAACAACCATAAAATGAAACGATAAAATGAAAAGTGCAGCAATAAAATTTTCGGAACTTGACCTAATACATTTGAGAAAGGATTTTTACCCTGTTTTTCCTGAGTTCTAGGGCCGATGTGAAACACTGTTTTTCGCTGAAAAATAAAATAAATCATGAATTCAAGGGTTGAAAAACGCAGCTTAGTGTCACAATTCTGCAGCGACTGAATGTTCGTCTCCAGTAAAGAAAGTCTACTATTTTTATGCCGAACTAATACAATACGAAAAAAGTTTCATGGGTTTCATGGCGTTCACTGGGTTGACCCTCTATCGACCAGCGTAACCTCTGAGTAACAATGGTTAAGTTATATTTCATAGCAGAAAGTTCTGTTGCTAAAATGTTGCGATCCATCATAATCTTCATCTCACACTCCGGATACGCAATACACACTTAAGATTTTTCCATCTCTTCCCTAGTTCCCTAGATTTATTAACAGCGCAATATCCTTTGAAATGTGTATATGTATACACATAGATGTATACATATGCAGATGGAAAAATACCATAAATAAGGACAGATCATTTCAGATTCATGCCAATTTACCTTAGATCATGGAGCCGACTTAGATGGCAGCGTGACTTTCATTTTTTATCGCATTAATTTGTGCTACTATGTCGCAAATTTAGTTGTACTTCACGTAAAGGAACTACCTAGTCTGCTCCATAATATGTAAAGAATGGATAAGCAGTCTAAATTTCGTATGCTTCCTCAAGTAATTGAAGGTGAAAACGCAAGAAAAATCTATGTCAGCACACCATCGCCCACGTCCTCTACACGAACAGTTTCAGGGTAAACAGTACGGAACATACAGTATTATCGGGTGTGGAGTGAAGACCCACCTAATGTGGGGCAAGCTCCTTCGGTTTCCATCGGGCTGTGCAGAGGCCTCGCCAATGGAACTAAGGGATCCCTCGTCGTTTCCTGTGCGAGGCAGAGGATCTCCTTCGACTGCATCGCCAACAACTCATAACCATACCATAGTCCGCCTCGAGAAACACAAAAGCCGTCAAATGAGATTCTGGATGCAAGGAGCTTACCTCTACCACCGGGAGAGTTTTCCGACTCCTCTTCCTCTTTCTTTTCTAATTGGGAAAGCAGTTGCAGGGCCTAAAGAGGCCGATTCTCCTGGATGTTGTCAATGATTTCTTGAAAGACATCCATCGTCACCTTCCAAGGGAATTTGTCGATGGGTGCCGTGGTCGAGTGCATTTCTTTCACGAATAACTCTCGGACTGGAATCGGGGTATTCTTCTGAATATCCTTGAAGAAATTGCGAATGCTGTCCATCGTCATCTTCGACAGGAACTCGTTGATTGATCCCGCCTTCGTCACTTCTCTCAGCTTATCTTTCTCATATTCTTCATTATTGGCGAAGTAGGCAGAGCTGTTCATAGGGTAATGCCTCTTGTATTTCAGCCCCGCTTCTTCCACAGATGCTCTGACTGGGAGGTGTGGGCTGTCCGCGAACGAACAGAACAAATAGACTTTTTCAGCTACATCTCTGAAGATTTTGGTCACGTTCTCCAGCTCCATCTTCGGTTCCGCAGTCAATCTACCCTGCTTCCATGGACATGATGACTATATTATCAGAAAAAAGTATTCCTAACCTACAGAGGTCACGCTATCCTATGGTCCCCTCAGAAACCTTAATTGTAAGATTAAGACTAATTTAAGATAATAACGTTCCTGAACTTTCCTCTGTGCAGTTTCCTTTTTAGACTATCAACTCTATGACTAGGGAAATCTGACTCGACCTAAATGTTCTTGCCATAGTCCGTATCGTGCGTTTTTCACTCTAATACTATCTGGATATGTTTACTGCAGGAGTCAATTCCATACATTTGCCTTCCGTTGTAGTGCATCGAGAGAATTGAGCGATCCGCATTTCAACCTTGCTTCAAGATTCAGCAGCGAAAGGAGAATTTTTATTGCCTATCTTGCTGCCGTTTCAATGCCAAGTAATTCATGATTGAAAGCGCCAGGACCACCTGTAGATATTCCCATGAAACCATTGAATGGATTCGCTTGGACTAGGCACCGATGTCTAACTTCCATGCCAAAGCGTTGGATTTTTACGTCCTTAATACGGACTGGATGTACAAGGTGGGTTCAAAAAATTCGGGGACTGATGTTCTCATATAATATCTTGAATGTGATCCGCTAACTATTGCTGCGGCAAGAAAGAAAATAGTGTGCTTCTATACCCTCAAAAGTGACGGGAGTACGGCTCTGCATTTTCGCCATGCGGTCTGCGCAGTCGGACGTGACGCAACTGATCACCGCAATCCAGAATGGGCGACTTTCAAGAGAAGCCATTTTGCGTCATAATTTGCTTCAAACTTGAGAAAACGGCGTCTGAGAACGTTGTCATGCCGCAAGCACATTGTGGAGAGTATATTTTAACACATGGTTTTCATATGGTTTTCCAGTGAAGACCGGAAATCGACGGAAGACGACCCACGATGCGGACGTTCTTGGACATTGCGTACGGACGTTGGCGTTCCGCCGCTCTCGAGAATCCGGTGCGCTCCAACAGGAGGATCACGGTTAGGGATGTGGTAAAGGATACAAACATATTTTAAAATCAAAACTTTGAAGGGAATTTACTTAATTTCTTCTAGCAAGAATTATGACTTTCGCTTCAGAGGGTTGGCGACTGAGGTTATTTTGAGGTCTACCAAAAAATACATAACTTTGGAACACAAAATGATAGAAAAATGTTTTTTATTGGAAATTGAAATGTTAGTTTCCTATTTTGTGTTGTATTAATTCAGTATTATAAACAGTTAAAAGAGCGTACGATTACGTCCACCATCGTTCGTTGGTAGTTAGAACTGGACGTACAGTTACATCCGTTGGATCGAAAGTATTAAATGACTATTGACTATTTCATTTACTTATTTGTATCGACGATGATGAATGAAAGCAAAATAAATCCACCTATAAATGCATCCATGCAAGCATGCCAATTGGCATTAATCGCCACCTGTCTAGTCGTCATAGCCCAAAATTTACCTGTAGGACAGAAACAGAAACGCCTCAGCGTCTGTCAGCATTTGTCGAACAGACCACAAACGATCCTCAACAACTTCGCAACATCATCGCAGGCGATGGAACTTGGGATTCCGTTACCACCTCAGAACCGAACGCCAGAGTTTTTTTTTTTTTACTTCAGGACCATTTCATCGCGATTTCGTACAGGAGTTTGAAACGGTGAACCAGGCATTCTACCTGTGTGTCCCGAATCGCCTGCATGACGCCGTCTGTCGGAAAAGGCGAGCGAAGCAGCAGGCGGAAACGTGAAACTCTCATCAAGAGAACCCTTACGATATTTATAAGCCAAATTTCACATCTCAGACCCTCGTTTTTTGAGTTCCTTCCTCCCTCAAGATTAAATATTTTTCTAACGATCTTAACTCTGGAATAAACTGATTGCCATATTATCAGCAGTGAAGGTCAGAGTTTCCAACCCCAGAAGTTTGACTGAATTGTTGTACTCCCTCTCGGTTTCAAAAAGTGTACCCACGTTTTAAATAACTGCACAACTGAAGGAAATAAAATCAAATATTAGCATTACTTATTAATAAATACTTAATACAATATTGTATCTCTTCATAACGTTTCACGCACTGGAGATGCTCAAATTGAAATCCACAAGCATTTAAACATTTAAATGATAATAATGACTACGTTACAGAGAAGGAGTTGGTACATTTTTTGCACCACAATGTATATGTAAGATTGCTGCGCGTGGTGGCCTCTGCTTGAAAGAGCCTCAAGGCTATTTCGAACATATGCCATCCCCTGTACTTCTTGGCTCCAGCCAAGTCTCTTCCTCCATCTTTTCAAGTGTTCAATCAACTCCCGTGAAATCACCGATGAGGAATTGAAGACTCAGTAATTTGTTAGAGTCTTTGACACTCTTTCCCGCTTTCTTTTAGCCTAAATGCATTGATTTATTCTTGATGCAGTTATTCCCACTGTCAAAAAGACTTGAGAATGATATAATTAGGTAAATTAATAAACTAACAAACAAAAACACAGAACTTCTTCCCGCAAGGAGTATAAAAGTAATCCATGAGTGAGCCGAAAGACGCATATCTTTTTTACGCCTCCCAGGAATAAATGTGGAAAGGTCCTTTCTCGAGCGAACAGTTGATTCCAGATATGAAGAGAAAACACGCATAAAGAAGCATTTCAGTTTATTAGATAATAACATATAAGATGATACATCTTTGCATTTCTCACCCCTAAAATAACATTATTTACTCATGAGTTCTCATAAAATAACACGGCTTTCTCCGGGGAACTCCCTATTTTTCATGAGGATTGTGAAGTTTCTCATGATCGTTGAAAACGGTCTCTTGAGGATTATATGAGTTCCCATGAGGCCTCACAACGTTCTTATGGGAACGTTGCGAAACCTCATGGTTCCTCAAAAACCTCATTCACTCTTCAAACCTCATTAGGTTTTTCCAGCGGTGTGATTCCAGTGTTTCCAAGGAGTAACATGACTATGTAAAAAAAAATAGGCAATATATTCCATTATACCGAAATTCCTTTTTTCCCAACATTGACTTCATCTTACAAAAAAAATACAATTGGCTCCTAATTGAAAAAATGGTCAACATTTGTTTTAACTTTTTCGCTCTTTGCACATGCATTTTCATTCAGGCTTTGCCATCCTTTACATTTTTTTTTAAATTAACTTAAATTTGGAATGAACGTTCGTGCAATTTCGAATGGAATTTCAATTAAATTCATGGAAAAATTGATGAAGCTGGGCAGATATATTTTTTGTCTCTTTATTTTCTATCGCGCTGATATTCGCCCCAATGATGATAGTCGCGATAATCAGTCCTTGTTGGGATGACCAGTGTATTTCCTGATGAACAGACCGATGAGAACGAAGAGGACCCCCGTGCCGACCACAACCCCAACCGCCAACAAGGGACTGCTCGGCAGGAAACATTCCATATTAAATCCCAATACAATATCCATTACGTAACTTTCATCTCCACTTTCTCCGGATCATCTAAGTCTGCACGTGATCTCGTTCTTCCTTTTCTTCTGAGAACGCGTTAGTGTTTCCCAGGAATATTTAAAGGAAATGGAATAATTCGAACTTACGAGGGCCACTCTTACAGTCGTAGGACTTTTCAGCTTCAATTGAAAGTGGATGAGTTGAAGCCCTCCTTTTTCTGCACTTTTAGGTTGCATTGACAAGATTGTCTTGACATTTTGTGACAGAGGATATTAGGAGGAAGCAGGTAGGAAGATCTCGTAAGCTTTAATTCCGCACTCGCCTAAACTGATCCCTCGTAGACTTTCTGGCATCATCCTTTGGAATTATAAGGAAGTGCTTCTTCAATTGAGGGGAATTTCCTGACGACGAGTCCAGATCTGAGCGTGCCCTGTCAGTATAGACTCGAACACATATTGACGCGGTGGCACGGTGACATGTCAATAAGAATCTTCCATGGGTTCATGGGAGATTCTTATCGACATGATAAGAACGTATCTTCAACAAGGAACGTTTCTGATCAACATGAACCTTTCACGTACGCATCAGCTGAGATGAGTCATTTTTCCTGTTCCAGAAAATAATGACATGAAGGTGATCATATGACAGGTCTGTCATGAAGAGAATCGTTATTGATCAGATCTTCCTACCTGCTTCCGGTCAAAGCGTTACAAAGTCACTAAATACAAATTGAATAGGACAAGAGTTTTACAAGCAATCTAGAAGTCCATGCAACTACTGAGGCGGCCTAAAGCAATTAAACTTCATTTGCAAATGAAAAGTCCAAAATGTTTGGATTTACATTCGTAAATTTCCCCTTTAAGGAATTGAATATTTGGAAGAACCTCAGTACTAACTTTTGTATAATCCAACCCGTGAAAACACAGAATCTATCTCGCATCGTCCGGGTCTCCGCAGGGGGAATATCCTCGTCTCGCTCTATCAGAACACTCGCCTTGTCAGGCTTCAAGAGGGTATCTTCCTTTCCATCCTCCTTTCCACCCTCCTTTCCTGCACATCAAAGTGGCAGTCATTTGTATGAAGTCAATTAGGGTTAGACAGAATTTATGGAGAATGTGGAGGGAGGACTCACTTGGGCGAAGATCGCGGACTTGAATGGGGCGATTCCGCTCGATATCCGCGTAGAATTCCTGATAGCTCTTCGTCGTCATGTCGAACAGCAATTTATTGATGGTCCCCCTTTTCTCTTCTTTCTCGTCTTTCTCGTCCTCGTCACTGGAAGATCCGTTTTCTTCCTCCTTGGCGAAGTAGGAGGAACTGTTCACCGGGAAATCCTTCTTGTACTTCAGTCCAGCCTCTTTCACGGATTCTATGACGGGGAGCTTTCTGCCGTCCGCAAATGTGCAAAACAAATAAGAGATCTCCGGGACTCTCTCGTGCTCTTCGAAGACTTTGGCCATATACCCATATACCGTTCTTTGCTCTGTCGTCAATCTCCCCTGTTGAAATAGACAAAATGATTATACAGTAGCAGGCGAAAGGAACTTCTGCATCAAGCGTAGCTTGAGGGAAGAATAATGCCACATGAGGAAAATTGTTCATGATCATTTTAACTTCGAATAATTGAAACCAATTCTGTCGTCTCTGATATCACTTTAATCAGATTCGATGGTGGCGTAACGGTTAACGGGTAACGATTGAGTAACAAGAGAAAGTACTGAAGGCTTATTCTTAACAAATCAGAAAAATTATCACTGAGTTCGAGAATTAGGTAGACTCCCGCTTCGATTATATCAATCTTGTTTCTTCGAGCAACCTACCATAGGAAATGGCCGCTCATGTCCTGTAAAAATTTCAGACATGCGTTGCAGTTGTTATGAGTGTTATGGGATCGATGTGATAACAAAACGGTAACGATAGGATGACTGTAATGTATGTTGTTTGATGTTTCTGCATTCACGCTGCTTTGAAAATGATTGAAATTACATTTTGTCACGATGCCGACGCTTCTTCTGTGTCCCTGGGGGATGCTCCAACGCTGAACCCCTGAGAAGACGCACTCTTGTTTCTCAATCTTTGTTTCTCATGTGCTTTGTTCATGACTTCTTACGATCCCTTTGCGCGTTCAAACTAATTACGGGAACGCGAAATCTTGGCATGACCACTACAAAAACATCGATGAGAGAGGTCGTGCTGCACAACAGCAACGTCACTTACACATTACGGCCTGGGTACTTGGCTTTTCCTCCCAACCCATACCACTTTATATGTATTATTTCAAGTCCAAGATTATCATGTCACAAGAATAGCCTAGAATGACCATAAAACTCCTTCCCAAAATGCTCAACTTTACATTTATAAGAAATAAATTAATTTTTGTCTTGGACAAAGTCCATCATGACCGGATGACTCCTCTCCTTAATGAATTCGATGAGCCGAAATTAGGGGCGTCATGTATTTACTATGACCTTTGATTGGCTGCATGGCTTTGGTTGATATATTGGTCGATCACTTAACGACAACGAGAAGAACGGGCATAGATAGAAAGATATTCCATTGACAGGTTCTACAGTACTTACTCCAAATTTGGAGTCCCTTGGATGAAATTAGCATCTGGTTTTTTTTAATAATAATTTAAAAATATGGGTAAATAAGCGACATTATCTTCTATTTTTATGGACTTAGCCTGAGAGAAAGAACAGTCTACTTTCCGACGCGGATTCAAGAAGTTCCGAATAGAATGCATTTCTTTGTAGGGACGAAAGGAGAAGAAGCAACCTGGGAGGCTTGCACGACATAAATGATGGCGTGGATGCCGAGCGCGTGTTTGGATCCGATGAATCCATGGATGTCTTCCATCAACTTCCAGTCCTCCCCGAGCGTACCCTTTTGGAAGCCAGGCGTGTCTATGAGGGTGACAGGACGAGGGAACCTTCTTTTGTCCCTGGTGAAGGTGTGGGAGGTGATCATCTCAGTGGGTCCGTAGTCCTTCTTCACGCGGAATCGATAGGGATTCCAGAATTCCACTCCCAGAATATAATTCCCCATTGCCTCCAACAGCGTCGATTTCCCTACAATTAAGATGAGTGTAAGGACTTCCAGATCAATTTGCCTTTTTACTTTTGAATGTGGTACTATATAACACGAGAGATAACCTGATCCAGTCAAGCCAAGTAGGAGGACGTTCAGGCATTGTTTATCATCCTCATCTCCTCCCAAACGGAATCTACCACCTGCAGTCGGAATGGGCTGGAATGGGAGAAGGTAGGCCGGCGGGTCCTCTCCTTCTATTACTTTGCTTTCTTTTCTCAAATCCTCAATTTTCCCTTCAAATGTCTCGTTCTTAGGATCCCTAGCAAGAGCACATTTCAGATGATCACTTTCTGATTCACCTCTTATTACCTGATATTCCTTGAGTGTGTTATCCGCCAATCTTAACCCTGATACATACGTTTAAAAAAAAATTTGCACTGCCCCCAGATCTATACAGGGTGCGCAACATGTTCTATATGCTATATTTTTTGGCTATAACTTTGCTGTATTTCATCCAAATTCCATCCAAATTTTCATCAAACATAAGAAACACATACTGCAACAATACAATATTAGGACTTTTCAAAATGTCCCCCGTCGGCTGAGATATAGGCTTTTAAAAGCTTTGGAAAGTTGTCCATGGTAGCCGTCAGCTGTTCGACCTTAATGTTACTCCAAATCGTAAGAAAGTCCTTCTTCAGCGAATCCACACTGCTGTGCGGTGTGGAGCAGGCCTTCTCCAAAATGGACCACGCTGCGTAATCATAGTTTGAGATCTGGTGAGTTTGAGTACCAGACGTCCTTCCCCCACGGATTCGAACACAGTTCTTTGCAGAGCTGCATCGTCGTCTTCGCTCCGTGCGCGGGAGCCCAATCTTGTTGCAGCGTCCATCGTGGACAACTTTCCAAAGCGTTTAAAAGCCTCTATCTCTGCCGACGGGGGAGATTTTGATAAATCCTTATAGTATATTGTTGCCATATGTGTTTTTTATGGTTAATAACATTTTGATGGAATTTGGATGAAATACAGCAAAGTTATGACCAAAATATCGAGGCAAGAATCCTGTAGAAATCTGGGGGTGGTGCAAAACTTATTTTTGAGTGCGTATGTTCTACAGCCAAATTTTTAGAGCATTTCATTGCTTTTAATTTTAAACGAGACACAGGGTCTACAAAGGCTATTAATACCTCAAATTTGAAATGCACTCAATATTGAACAGTAATCCGAAAAACATTCGGAAAACTCAAGTTACATAAATGCATGACCCGCAGTCTAAATAATACGCATATATGGAGATATCGTGCCACTCCTTTGCGGAATACCGGCAATGCAATGAAATGCAGTTAATATCCCAGTGAATAAGGAGCAATGAAGAGAGAACGTTTGAATCGAATTGCTACTTACCAGGTGACGTTATCATTGCCACCTTGTCTCTGCAGCAATTTGAATTCTGGCCTCAGCGATGCTCATGAAAACGATGTCATTGTGATTTTTCATAGAAAGTATTAATAGCCTCACAAAAAGAGTGCTTTAAATGTGTTTTCACCTTTCAGCGCAAACTTGAAGGATTTAAAAACGCCTTCAAAGGAATCTCTGAGCATGACATATTTCGGCTCTTCCAGCACCTTTTTCAAGAGTTCAGTGCCTACCAGTGAACCTTTAGTTATTTTACTCGTCTTATCTTAGATTAAACTTTTTTGGAATGGACTTTTAAATTAAATTCAAGGAAAATATTGGAGAAGCTGGCCAGATTGATATTAGCCGCTGCATCCGTTGTCACACTGATTTTTGTCACGATCATTAGTGTCGCGACAATCAGGGTTGGGATGAGCTTAGAACACCCAGATGAGCGGACTGAACCTAACGATGAGGACCACCACTCCGGTCCCAAACAAAATCGGCACCCAGGGTCTGTTCAACAGGAAACATTTTTCACTTTCAATTCAACTAATTTTTAATAAGTTGCTTGACTTTTACTTCAACATTCTCTCAATAATTTGTATCTGCACATGAAATTTAAGTCTTCATTCTCATCTGTATATAAGGTGGTATTTTAACAAATTTAAATTTCTTTAAATTTAAAGGAAAATTTAAAGGAAATGAAATACTTGAGATCCATGATATCCTCTCTGACATTTGTCAGACTTTCCATCTAAAAATGAAAGTGAATGAGTTCAAGCTCTCTCATTTCTTCAATGCACTTCTAGGTTACTTGAACAAGTTTCGTCATGTTCTCATAACATAGTGGAACATCAGCGCACTCTAAAAGCAAGCAGGTGGGATGATCTCGTGAACATGAATTCTGCACCCCGCTAAACTGATCCCTTAACATGGTGGCATTATTTTCTAGAACTGTAATGAGGCTTCTCATCACGCTTTCTTTCCATGAAACTTTTGTTTAGCAAAAAAAGAATTAAGCCCTTTCACGCGCAGTGGTGTTCATCAGGTAGTGAGAGGAAATGACAAGTCCGTATTTGAGCACCCTCTCACACCAATGATTAAACCAATTATTGACGTGGTGCACTTGCTAATGAGAATCTTCCATCGGGATCCTCGATGAGGGCATTTTCTTTATTATAAGCAGCTGTGAGAACTTAGTAATTTTTTCTGCACAAATTCCGAGGCATGGAGGAGTTTGATCCCCAAACCTTTTCATTAACGCATCAGCTGAGGCTGCTGAGCTCTTCCAGTTCTAAGAAATGATGACACGAAGGTGATGGTGGATTAGGTCTGTCATAAGGAGAATCGCTCATCAGATCTTCCTACCTGCTTTCATTCTGAATGCTACAAGGTCACTAAGTGACAATTGATTAGGACGATACTTCTACGAGCAATCTAGACGTCCATCTGAACAATGAGAAGGCTTGAACCAATTCACCTTAAATTGCACGTGAGGACTCCAATTATTTCGGTATGATCCTTGTAGATTGCGCCGTACACGAACTGAATATCGTGAAGAGGCTGAGAACTAACTTTTTTATAATTGAGTCGAAGAAACTAGTGAATTACCTCATCTTTTGCTGTTGCAGCGCTGGGACAGGCGCGAAAGGAAATCCCTCATCTTGCCTTCCCGTGTTTGGTATCACCACATTAGTACCCTGGTGAGGATATTCCCTTCCTGCATGCCAAGGTGACAATCATTAGAATAGGGGCGAAGTTGAGAAGGAGAAAAATAGTGGAGAATGGGGACTCACTGGGGCTGTGATCGGCCCGGGGATCAAGGCGGGGATAGCGGCTCGGACCGGGGCGGGGATCGTGGCGGACTGGAATGGGCAGGTTTTCCTGGATGGCGTCGAAGAATTCCTGATAGCTCTTCGTCGTCATGTCGAACAGGAGTTTGTTGATGGACTCCAATTTTCCCCCTCTCCGTTCGTTCTCGTCGTCGTCACTGGATTGGCCATTTTCATCGTCCTTGACGAAGTAGGAGGAGCTGTTCACGGCGAAATGCTTCTTGTATTTCAGTCCCGCCTCATTCACAGTTTCTAAGGCGGGGTGTTTTTTGCTGTCCGCGAATGTGCAAAACAAATAGGAGATATCCTGAATACTCTTCTGGTCTTCGAATATATTGGCCATATTTCCCAATACATGTCTTTGCTCTGTCCTTAGTCTCGCCTGTTGAAGTAAACGAAAAGAATATAGCGACGGACGAAATTTGTACCTGTCGCAAGGAAGTTGAAATGAAAAGCAGTTGGACACGAAAATAATGCCCTACAAGTATACGTTTTCCGGATAATTTTAATTTTGAGTGCTAATTACTATTCTGTCTTCTCTGATATGCTTCCTTCCAGCTAATTCCATGATTTCGTTGGGATAGGGTGAAATCTTTGTTATCAGTCAGGAATGACTACTGGTATTTCGTGCATGTGTAGGAAAATCTAAATTGTATGTGTTCCTCCAGGACTTGAAATTCTACAAGTATCCTTTCCTTCTAATTTTCCAAAGGAAAAATGTCTCTTTATATGCGGAATGCATAATGTAATCTCAACTACTCAATAGCCAAACTCGTTGCTTAGACGCTGCTCCAATATGTCCATGTTCCATCCCTGTTACGCGTACTGCTTCGTTATCATGTTGAACTCACGTTCTAGCGTGGTGTTTTATTAGGTTGTTGCAAAAGTCCTGTCGGTATTGACAACTTTATTTTCTCAACTTTAGAGCTTTGCAACAAGCGAGGCCTAATCGACCACATATTCGCCATAGTTGCAGATGACCTTCGTCCATCTTCTGGGCAGGTCATGGATGCCTTCTCTGTAGAAGGACTTGGGCTTCGAGGCGAAGAAGTCTGCGAGGCCGGTTTCCATGGCCTGTCGATTGGTGAAGCTCCTCCCAGCCAGGTGATTTTTTAGCGATCGGAATAGATGATAGTCAGAAGGGGCAAGGTCCGGGGAGTACGGTGGGTGACAGATCACTTCCCAGCCGTACCCCTGTAGCGTGCTGCGGGTGACGTTCGCGACGTGTGGGCGCGCGTTATCGTGTTGGAAAAACACGTGGCCTGCCCAGTAAGGATCGGAGTCCAGTTTCGCTTTGAGATTTGCCAGCTGAGTGGTGTAAATGCGGGCAGTGACCGTTGAGTTCTCTGGAAGCAGCTCCCAGTACTCAACTCCTCGTTCGCTCCACCAGATGCACAGCAACAGCTTCTTCGGGTGCAGACTGCCTTTTGGCTGTACTGGAGGCTTGGAACCGNCCAGAAGAGAATTTGGCAAACCTTCGTTCTACCGTGCGACGACTTATGATGTCTCCGCCATAAACTGCGCACACTCGGCGATGAGCTTCCGTAGCTCCGTTGGCGTGAATTTCTCAGAGGCCATGAGAAATGATGGGATGAGTGAGATACAACAGACTGTCCTTATATACCCATACCTACCACCCACTCGCCAGGAATTGTCAAAGCCTGGAAGTCTTATTAGAACATGTTACATTCAACACCGACAGGACTTTTGCAACAACCTAATAGTTCCAATTTGTTTGAAATGAGACTCGTTGCAGGATTTCTGAGGCATCCCCGAAAGGAATTGCTGTAATGTTGATAAATAACGTTGACTGAGTGTAAGGAGTTAATAATTAATAATAATTTTTTTAGTAGTTAAATATTGAACTTGAAGCGCTGAGTGTTACATAGTGAACAGAGCAACAACAATGGGGCATTGTTGAACATCCAACCCCCATTGCTTGGGGTTGGATCCAACTCCCATTCATACTGGAAACCTGCTATCAGGATATTAATTCTTAGCATTCTGTAAATGCGCTGTCTTTCATTACGTATCATGCAATTTTAATTTCCTCATTGGCATGGGTGACAAACTCAAATCGGTAGGCGGATCGCATTCCTTACCCTGCAGATGCCTACGGGCCACACCCAAGACACTTCACCGAAATTTCTGATGACAGTTAACCCAAGCGGAAATTTCCAGAACGGACGGCGGGCAATATTAATACCCTCCGCGGGCCTTATGTTGGATACTTCTGCTCTATGCAATCAAGATCCTTTGAGAATCTTAAAACCAATGGGGTTGGATATATTAAGATATATGGTTATTTTGAAAATATGCAGGATGAACCAGAAGTAAGCGAGAAGGTTTTAATACGAATAACTCAGTAACTTTTTTGATTAGGAAGTATGAGACAACCAATAAATTAAAGATGGAAAAAGAAAGCGTCATTTACATGAGGTTATTTAAAACTTGTGGGCCATCATTTTTGAAGCACTCTTGCAGACGTTTAGGCAACCTTTGAAGTTCACCTGCTTACTCCGTCTTATGCCAATGAGAGACGCAACACACAATCTTGCAAAGAAAAACTGGTAGCCTTTCCGGAGTAGCCCGAAAGATTCCATCTCTTCATGAAGTTGCTTTAAAAACTTAGGAGCTCATTTCAGAGACTTTTCTCATTACCCTCAAAGACATAATGATTATATATTGAACATCAACACCTGATGCCTGATATTTCAAAAGTCCCATACATTAGCAATCTTCTTTCCGGTGTGACATTTCGACGTGGGGCCAATGCTGCCAGTCAAGAATTTACCAAAGCGCTCTATCAATGTTATGCATGACGGCCCAACGCAAGGATTTTTGCCTATCTGGAGCTTCTGTCCTCAGCTTACATCATCAAAATAAACTGTTCCTGGCGCAAATAATAGAACTAATAGATTCAGATTATTTCTAGACGTTCAGAATTTAATGCAATCGTTGCAGGGTTGAGAAAAAAAAGCAACCTGAGAGTTTTGGACAGCATAAATGATGGCATGGATCCCGAGCGCGTGTTTGGATCGGATGTAAACACGAATGTCTTCCATCAACTTGCAGTCCTGCGCGACCGTCCCTCTTTGCAAGCCAGGTGTATCGATGAAGGTGACAGGACGAGGGAACCTTTTCTTGTCTCTGGTGAAAAAGGTATGTGAAGTGATCTTCTCCGTGGGTTCGTCCACTTTCACCTGAAATCGATACGGATCCAAAAAATCCACTCCCAGCCCGTAATTTGCCATCGCCTCCTCCAACATCGACTTCCCTGCAATTGAGACGAGTGAAAGGATTTTCAAGCAAATTTCGCATCTTAATGCTGAAAGATGTGTAAAACGAGAAGCAACCTGATCCGGCCAAGCCGAGGAAGAGGACATTCAGACATTGCTTGTCATCCTCATCTACGCCCAAGGAGTATCTACCATCCTGGATGGGCCGGAATGAGAGAGGGTATGTCGACGGGTTCTTTCCTTCTATCGCTTGGCTCGCTTTCCTCAATTCTTCTACCAATTTTCTTTTTTGAAGCGTCTCATTCATTGTAAACCTATAAAAATCACAGTTGAGGAATTGATCGTCCTCTAGTTCATCTCATAGTAGTTGATATTCACAGAGAAATGCAGCACATCTTAATATTATTATCGAGTTTGATAGCCAAATTACATAACAAGCATGAATTAGATGGATAGTGCAAGTATGAATTTGATTCATCAGAGCAATAGTTTCATCATGTTTGGTCATTTAAAAAGGGAAAATACGATCGGTTCTTGATTACTTGCTGTTACTGGATTTGAGTTTCGAGGGTCACTCAATAAGTTATCTACCTGAATAAGAAAGAAACATCCTAGGGGGAAAATAACAATTTATTTTTCAATGTAGTCACCTTTTAACTCAACACACTTATTCCACTTTGATTCCAAGGATTTTATTCGCTGGGAATAAAAGTCAACTTCTTGTCCATCGAACCAATCAGAAACGGCAACTTTCAGCTCTTCATTGCATGAAAATCTTCTTCCCCGCAAAAATTTTTCAAGTGTCTGAACAGAAAATAGTCACTGGCGATTCCTATGCTACCACTGTGAAAAATTTACATGATCCCATCAAGATCTTCATTGCATGAAAATCTTTTTCCCCGCAAACATTTTTCCAAGTGTCTGAACAGAAAATAGTCACTAGGAGCCAGATCCGGGCTGTAGGGAGGATGGTTCAGCTCCTGAAAGCCACACTCCCTCACTGCTGCCTGAACTTTCCATGATTTGTGGACGGGTGCGTTGTCATGAAGAAGAAGGACTCCCCCTTGACAACTTTCCTCTGCGTTTTTCCTTGATGGGATCATGTAAATTTTTCACAGTGGTAGCATAGGAATCGCCAGTGACTGTACACTTCTCTGGCATGAACTCAAGCAGCAGTAGTCCCTCACTGTACCAAAACACAGTGGCCATAATCTTTCCTGCAGATTTCTCAACACAAAATTTGCGAGGCGTTGGCGATCCCTCGTGTTTCCACTGCATGGACTCCTGCTTAGTTTCGGGATCCCAATGATGAACCCATCATCATCACCAGTTACTATTCAGGGGAAAAAAGTTTCCCCGATTTGTTTAGAAAACTCCACGTTTTCCTTGCAGATGTCTGATCTGTTCTTCTTCTGAGCTGGAGTCAGCATTCTTGGGACCCATGGAGAACTGATTTTGGACATGTGTAATTTTTCATGAATGATGTGAATCACTGTGCCGTTTGAAATCCCCAGTTCGTGAGCTAAAACAGAGACTTAGGTGCGACGATCCTCCAGTATCGCACTCTCCAATTTGTCACACATTTCCTGATCAGAAGCCTCCACAGGGCGCCCCGACCTTGGGTCATCTTCAATTGCCTTTCTTCCGCACTTAAACTGCTTGCTCCAAAATTTAACTTGGTAATAAAATGGCGAAGACACACCATAAACGTTAGACATACGTTCATGAATCTGCTTAGGTGCTTTCCCTTCTTTGGTGAGGAATTTGACCACTGAACGATGTTCAACTTTCGTCAAATCCATGACACAGTCTCAGGAAAAGAAATCTAATGCGCTACCACTTTGAACGGACTTGAGCCATTGAGCTGGCATTGTGGTGGGTCACTCACGAGACCTGTCGAGACATGTCACAGCAGGCACAGGCCTGTTGCTCATCACATTCATATTCAGGTAGATAACTTATTGAGTGGCCCTCGTATCATTCGTGTAAGAAAGTCCCTTTTCAGGGAATGACAATTGAAAGTTAAAATGTCGGTTAGTCCATATTCCTGCCTGACGATGGGTGCGTCCAATTAGACCAGTGCTGACGAACTTTCTGTCGATTAATCTCAACGACGATAAAATGAGTGATCAATATGTGATAATTTGTCAACAGTCGGTTATTTGAATCACGTTCTGGTCAGTGAGTCCTTGCCACTGGCCGCTCAGTTTTCCTGATGCATGAAGGAGACTTATGGTATTGAACATGTCATGATAAGGATGTTAGTGAATGGCACGAAGGAATGTTCCGAGTTCGGTGGTGTAACGGAAGCACGCCTGACCGGTAATCAGGAGGCCCGTGTTCAATTCCCCGCCATCCCCAGGCTTTCTTTCGTCCTCTCCTCCATCCAGTCTTCCCTCTCGGCCATTCTCATGACAAACAAGTGCCCACAGTTTGGTCTGAACATGAAACTGAAGGACTTAGTGGGGGTAAGGAGGAATTTCGCATTTTATGTATAACCATGACACCTAATGAGTTCCCAGCAAATAAATGAACATTCAATCAGCGTTGTATGAACGTTAATTGTGAACCTTCCCACCGTTGTGGTAAGGCTGCATCTAACATGAAGTAAATATTTTAATGTCACTTATCGCAATTCTCAGATGAATGTTGAAGTTCAGCTCGGAGCCAACATTGTCAAGTCTCTTATTGGAACGTTCACCCCCACCCCAGTAGCACCCCAATATTGGGTCAATAACGACGGGCAAGGAATATAGATATACCGAGTGTACTATAGTTGGTACATTCCACAGTACATTCCACTCTTCCATGCTCCACGGAGTAACTGCAAGTTCGAATCCTCCTTTCCTTCCTCTGGGAAAATTATGCCATTTTGTGACAAGCTGAGAAAACGATGGACGAAGCTCATGTTCAAAGAACTATTCTAGAAACTTTTTCCAACGATATAAATGTAATCATGCGAAGGGTTCCCATAAGGAATATGAACTTTTTCATCGCCTGGGTTCCATGATTGTCTTGAATATGGGGATAATAAATTAGGAAGAGACCGATGCGAGGGGTTTTCAGAGAGGAGGCGAGGGCGCAGATGCCCCTGGTGACTAGCGACATCTTTCTCTCCAAATAGTTGGACTTTTTTAAAGGAATCAAACTATGTATTGGAAACGATGAACCACATGCATAGCCACGTTGTCAACGGGAGATCTTCCTTGCAGTCCATCTAAATAAAAAAAAGCTCTGAGTTTTCAATTTCCCATCGGCTAAACGAAGTAGAAACACAGGATCGGACTTCGATGGACAATCCCAGATCCACGTTAGATAGGCCTAATCAAGCCTACGTGAGTTCCCGTGAGGAATGATGAGAAGCCAGGAACGATGACCAAAACATCACCTGTTTTATTGAAATTTAATTAAGTAAAACAGTAATGGAGGACATGAAAGCCTAGTTTTTTACTATATTAAATTTTCATTTAATATATTGTGTACTTGGGAAGGTTCATATTGATTTTCCTCTCTTCAGCAGGAAATTAAAACCCATCATTGTCGCCAATGTCATCACGACGTTTGCACTTAAAAATGCAACTCCTAGATTCTCCGTCGATCCGCTATATCCCCTTCACCATGCACCGTTGTCGAAGTCAAGTGAAATAAATGTCTAACTCGAGTGAAAAACACTGTATCTGGCGTTACTGGGTGGTAACACTGGATAGGTTTTGGGTCGTTCCTTGAAAAAAATATTTTATTTCCTATTTGGCCATACATGGTCCATGATACTATCATAAATAATATTTAAAAATGCAATTTAAGAGGTATCATAGTGCCATAACACTGCTATAATATTCACGCAACCTTGGACTTCCACCTTCAACGTCAATGACATTGTGTTGACTCTAGAAGAGCATTCCCACAACGCTACTATGTTTGCTGGGTATTCCAAACCGAAGGTAACTGCATATGCTATCATACTATATATGATACGGTTGCCTACATAATGGTGTCATATACTTCATGGGCACGAAACATATGTCAAAGACGAAAATGCGATTAACTAGGAAGTTATTAATATTTGCAACAAAAAATAACGCTGAGAGCACTATTTTCTTATCGTTATCTCCGCGAAGCTCTTCCGGGATCTTCCTTGAGTAGTTTCAGCACTCGCTGGGGATGACTCGGAACTACGGAAAATCATTCGCCATTACTCTTTTCCTTTGGAAACCTTGTTTATTCGTGTAAAGGCCAGATGGCAGGGTTGCAGCTCAATCAGCTGGTAACACATTCTTTCGCCCATAACTCCAGAGCGTGTGCTCCGATTGCATCAAACACAAGGACATATTAATATTTCTAGTTGATGTCTATTTAATGCATTGATCACGTCGGAAGCAGAGATGAGGAAATATTTTCTCGCATTGAATATTTTGGTTTTTCGAGAAAATAAGGAAAATGGTATATCGGAGCAATTTTTTTGCCATGAGAAAGGCAAATCCTTGGATGCTAAAGAATCACATTGAATATTTTAGCTCTCTATGTTCAGCGGTCTGAATGCTAGAGCGCTAAGAGACACATATAAGGTGAAGTACAATGGTAGTCTATGGTAGCCAAAGCTTTTTCGCATATGCCATGTTGATCTTAGTTCGATAATCTTTGTCTTATCTCACTCAGATTTAAAATGTACAGATAGCAACGTAACATATGACAAACTAATCGAAACAGTGCAGAAGTATTGCGTTCACTACTTTCAAACTTCAAACCATGGAAGCTAGTATTGTGACTGAAAGTCCGCGACACCAACGAGGATCGGTTCCTCTATATCTCACTAACAAAAAAAATTATAGAAAAAGTAATGTAAACAGGAGTGGTTCGAATAGAACTTTCGTTCTGACTAATTTTTTCCCCTCTATTCTTCTCGTGAGGGATTCTAGAGATTGAATAACCCAAATAATCAAGGGGGTCTACTTTTAATTTCCAGGCAGAAAATCTAAACGTGCAAGAGTACTCCCACTTAACCCTATAAGTAGCATATCAATGAATTACACTCTTAGATCTCCTTCCAATGATTGTGGTACTAAGTACACTTTGAGGTACTAGCCAGTACTTCATATCTGTATCTCAAAACGGCAAGATCGATCTCAAAACCACCGAAGAGAATTTGACTATGAGCCAAAGCACGAAGTGGCTCGTCTTATATTGGGTGCGTTTTCATGCTAAATCGGGGAAAAAAAATTAGTGCCATACATCCCCAAAAGGTGTAGTTCAATTCCCTAAAACCAGGAGGCGAACTTGTCCCGAGCGTTGGAGTTTTCAGCATTATATTCCGACCCCTTCTCATTCCCTATTAGTCAGTCGTGGAGGATGCCTTAGGTAATGTTCCTCCCACCCTCCCCCGCACTTTTTTTTATTATCTGCGTGTCATTCACACTCCTTGGTGCACCTCGAATGATTGCGTCAAAGGGAAAATCGGGGCCCATACCCAGATTTCTTGCCTAATATTCATAATGAACATTTGTAACGAATAATTGCAACAGGAAATTATGCTTTGATTTTTTGCGCCTATGTCATACCCACCCTCAATGCCTCTGAGTCGGCTTTGGTTCGATTCACTGCCCGACGTGGATATCAGAAGGCTGGGCATTTCCAGTGAATACAAATTTGGCAAATTAGTGAAATCGTTGCCTTTTTGTTAGACTTGCAAGCTTCGATCGAGGCTACGAAATATGTTCGACCCCGTGACGAGTAAGAAATGGAGACCGGTTAGGTGGAAAGGGAAGCTTGGAAAGTGAGCCATGCCCTTGGGCAATAGTCTACCAGCGTACGTCATGTCAAGGTTTCCCTGCTCCCCCATTGCCGAGGATATGAATGTCTTACACACACGGACTCTGACAATACAAGAAGCAAATAAAGTTGAGCGGCGTGGAGACGCTATACGACATCTATGCAACATTTTCGCACTAGCTCAATTTTTAGGAAAATTGGGACCCCCAAATACCATGTTAATGAATTGCGCTCACCAAAAAAAAATATTTTCTAAGTACGAGAAGGGCTTGGCAGCCTCTCATTTGTTAAAATTTTTTCATACCCTGGTTGGTGCCGTGGACTGAATATTCATTCATTAGGTAACAACCATGTTTAATGCGAACAGGAAAGTTCCCGATGCAGCGGTGCGACAAGAACTACAGCCTCGTGCATTTCCCCCAGATAAGAGCCAAGTGGATATGATTTGTTTTTCTCTGGCAGTAACTGAAAAAGTTCATAGGTGACTGCTTAATTCACGTCTTAGCATCATGAGGCAAAAGTAAACAATATCCATTCTTCTTAAGAAATAATTTAAAAACAATTTTTGTACTCCCTGGAAAACCTTTTTTCTAGGTATTATTGAATAGCTTCCACTTCAAGAAATACGGCAACATGAATTCGTAACTTCCATGAAATACATACCCGAATGAAGAGAGAAGAATTTCATGAATGGCGGCAGAGGAGAAGGGGGATGTATTTTATCACATGGCAATGCGCTTGTGACTTTCTGCATCTCTCCAAACATGCCTTATCTTCTATCATATTGTTCCCTCCGCAAAAAGGAGACTCAAGATAAAGTCGTGAGTCATTCCATATGAATTCAACTAGACAGTGCGAACGATCATCTCGGATTTCGCAAAAAAAAACTCTCAGCTATTGCAGTCAATCTAACGACTCCGAAAGAAAAGAATCGGCTCCGTTGAGTCTGCAGTTAGTGCAATATCGCCCCACAAATTCTAGGGGAAAACGGGAAAATCCCATGGACGTCAGCATTTTCATCTCAAGAACCGTTCATCTGCGGAGGCGTGCAACAGCTTCAATCGGAGCTCTTCGATAGATGAACAATTATCTTTATGCATCCTTGGAATTTAAACGAGATTTCAGCATCATAGTTTAGTCCGAAAATGTGGAATTTAGGAAATTTTGACCATGAAATATCCCTATGTGGGGGGGGGGGGGGGGGCAAATCTCTCGTTGCGGTAAGTGGCACTCCACTTTCGGTTGCATGGAAAAGGCAAATTATTTGTTTGACTTTTTTCCGCTAAATTGAGAAACATATATATCTTAAATTTGGAGTTTTTGCATTTTTGGTCATCTTTATCCGAGTTTTTTCCGATGTGGTGGAGCACTTACGGTATCGTGGATAATGTCTCCAAGAAGGTGAACCCGAGATCAATCGAACGAAATAGAACTTGCAGTGCCTTTTTTTGAAATAACAAAGGAAAAATTTTTTCCAAAAGAATACAGATTACAATACAAGGTATATTCCTAGAACTAACGGAACCCCGCTCCAGTTGCGCGAAATGGCAATGCACCGATTTTCAGAGTTAACCACAAATACTTAATATCTTGTAGGTATATGGTCAAAAGGAAAATGTTTTGAACTTCACTACAGAAGAGTAGCTATAGAATTTCGGTCGTAATTTTTTTTGAAGAACATGTAAATGTATGAGTTTTAGAAATTGACTATTAGAAAAAGGGTCCCGTACATTCTATTCAAAACCTCTGGAAACACGAGATTCATTGTATAGATGCCATCGCTGCCTGTGTATCGCCCTTATCGGGGTCGAGGCTCTATCTTCACCTCGACGCTTTACATGCGCTGCGATCTTGAAAAAGTTAAATACAACTGCCTGTGGAAAAAATAGGTTCAAGAAGGTACAATCCAGTTCGTTTGATTGTTTGGTCATGTCACTTATTGATTCTCATGGCTAAAGTCACGGGGCTTGGAATATGTCGCCGTTTGATCATGAGGCATCGTCAGGCATTCCTTTTTCGGTTTCTGGTAACCATGGCGATTATACCACGCTTTAAAGACAAATTCATGGGGAGAGGCTGCTGATGAACTCCATTGCATAATTATTTTGCTCTTCTTCATCCGTGACCACACGGCCGACCCTATAATACGTATTCTCGCATGCTCAAGTTCACATATTTGCACTGCTCAAGTTTTGAAGTGGATCGCTGTATTCATCCTTTTTTAATTTTCTTTCAAGTAAACAACGAGTCTAACTCCTATCAAAACCTCCGCCAGAGTATAAGGTACATTTTGGATCATTATTTAGAACGTTGCTACAGATGGAGTAAGGGAACTTTGGTAAAATCTGCTTACTTGAATGACAGAGGAGACTCATCATATCCACGCATCCAGTATGTGTATAGCTTTCATGCGTGACTATTACTAAGAAGACCCACCCGTCGTCCATCGTTGACTGGATGACAACATGCACTTCGTTTAATGTGGGTCAGGGAACACTTGAATTGGTAATATTGTAATAAATGTAAATAACTCCGTAAATTTCCTTAGCACGATATAATCATGACATATGTAATTGATCCACTTCAAATGCTGAGCAGTGCATTTGAAGTTATCGCTGAACAGTGAATTAATGATCACCCAAACATACATGTAAACACGCAAACAAACCCGCACATATTTATAAATATGTTACTTTTACACGTGTTGCCATGAATGTTATAACTTTCCACAATTACGCAAACAATGCCACTGCCATAGTCCTGTGCTTCATTCTAGGGAGTAAGAAAATAATTCCGAAAAACACTCGTTTTCCCTATTGGAAGAAGCAGAGGAAAGAGTCCTCCACAGGTTGTGGTCCAGCCCAGTTGCCCCGACCCGACCCGATCCGACCCGCAGGCTGTCTAGGGCTGAATTTTTTCAGGATCCTTCTTCTTGTCGGGTCGGATCGGGTGAATTTCTTTGGAATTCGGTTTTGGGTCGTGTATAGGCCATTACTTGAATCAGGCCCATCGGGTACAGGAATATCGGCCCGTGCATGGCTCTACCGAAAGTAGCGTAGTGGTGAACAATCTGATTATCACACTTTTCACTCATCCTTGGTTGATGATATTTAAAATTTAATTGTACACTCTTAGAAAAAGGGGAGCGATTTTTCTCAAAAAAGAGAGTAAAATAGCTAACTCCAGTTTCACCCCCCTTTCACTCTGGGAAACGAGCGAATTTACTCCATCACCAAGAAGTAAAATTGCTCTCCTAATCTGTGAGTAAAAACGAAAATACAGGGCAGTTTTATTTATTCTTACTAATTCGTCGATGCTTTGTTTCGTGTTTCACCCCCCTTTCACTCTGGGAAACGAGCGAATTTACTCCATCACCAAGAAGTAAAATTGCTCTCCTAATCTGTGAGTAAAAACGCTCCCCTCAGAAAGTGATAGGGATGTCATGCAAATCAGAAAATTCTCACATATATTGTGTGTCGCTCTCGTTCTCGCATAGGCGTTGACCTACCTCTGACTGAACTGATTGCAGTACACGTCAGAGGTTAGATCACCTTTCATAGGTTCTGTGGAGTATCCGGGATATTACCTCATTTCATTGAATTCTGATTGAATGCAGTTCACGAACACTACGTATATGCTAGGTCTCCTATGCGTTCCACAGTTCCAAAAGGGTTCTCAATAGGAATATGAGCTTGTTTATGGCCTGGACTCCATGAATATGTTCCTTTTCTTCCATAGGAATTAGGAAGTTCCAGTGAATTTTCACATAACTAATCGGCTAGCATGAGTGACCATAATTTGCAAAACTACAAGGGCCCTCCTTACGTATGGCAAGGTACTAAACAATCCTGCAAGGGACGATTCCAGGGAAAGAGAGAAGGGAACTTTTGTGTACCGTGCGAAAAGCGAGACCCTTACCGCCATCTAGGGGCCTGGCGAAGAACTTGAAGGTGTTCACTTCAATACGAGCGATGAGGGAGCATTTGGTGAGTAATAAGAGAGTAAATTCGAAAAGCTCACGGTGTGCTCACTTCTTACTCCCCAAACGCTCGGAATTTTCTAAGAGTGTACGGTGCACATCTATAGGCCATAGGCTTTGGAATGATGGGTAACATGACAGGATATTTATTGCCATAACGTTCGCAACGCGGCTTACAAACACACATTAGGATATAACAGTATACATTATAATATAGATGGATGGTCTCTCAAATCTTCGTATAATAAGTTGGGTTCGTCCCATCTGGTTTCTGCATAGCTTTCTAGCATTGCAGATTTTGCTCACCGAACAACCCTAAAGGAATGCCGAAAGGGTCCAAACAAATTTTTATTTCTGGCTCAACCTTGGAGCGCGATTTTAGATGCCTCTGATTTCGATCCGACAGATTGGTAACGGGGGTCTACGCAGGATCTTTCATTCTCGCAGAGGTCCGTTTGTGGCAGTCGCCTGGCTCCAACTGAAGAAGGTTTTTTTAATTATGGTGAAGCCTGCTTCCTCAAACAAAAATTCACGATCAGGTTCAGATTTTGTATTATCGGTGGCCTTGGCAAAAAAACAGTGCCTTAAAAATGAATGTACACTAGTAAATTGAGATACTGTCGTTTTGGCCTACAATATTTTCTTGAACATGGGTGTTGGCTGTGTTTATTTCAGAGTTAGAGTCAACTTTCAAGTTGCACAGGACTTCACATTCTAGTCACTGCCATCACCAGAGTAGTTTACGAGGAAAACCATCGAAAAAAACTCCAGAGCTTTTACTGTGAATAAAAAAAGTAATGCACCTCAAATATCGAAAAATAAACAGGAAATATCGAGAACTTTCGCCATTAAAACTCAAATGAATTTTGCCATTTTCAACCGTCATTTATTACTTCATTCTTTGAATATACAGTTCGTGGAACTCATATTCAATCAATGAATCGCAGAACATATTGGAAATATGGTCAATCAAGAGCTGATTTTACGATTAGTTCCAGTGAATTTCCAGACGAGCAGATATAGGGTAAAAGACCCAGTGATGGACCGGTCCCCAGTGATGGGCCACAGCACATAAAAATTCCAATACCTAAGCTTCCATAGCAAGCTTACCCATGTTGTGACATATGTTAGCAGCATTCAAGCACATAGACACTTCAGAGGTGTTCATGGAACAAATGCCTAGTTTTTGGAATTTTCCTGCGAAGTGGCCCATCACTGAGTACCCGCCATTAACAGGCCCATCACTGGGTCTTTTACCGTATGAACGTCCGCTTTGAAATGTGGCAACTAGTGAGCGACTTCAATTACTTTTATTCTTGTACTAGTTCGAGTTTCCATCCCTTAGAATTTTAAGACAGTAAGCTTGCTGTGTCTCTCCTGAAGGAAAGAGTGAGACAAATCTATGATTGACCATGGCAACATCTGTATGGGAATCTCTGTACCATTTTTCTGGTATGATTAAAGATCCGTACAAAATCGACTTTCGCCTTGCAAGGACCTGAAGTAATTTTTAAAACCCTCTTTGTCAGAAACAAAGTTAACCCTCTGGCATCTCAGCAACAAACAATTCAGCGTGTGAGGTGAAAGTAGAACGCTACGCAATATCTTCTTTTCATTCCAATTTTTGCTTGGCCGCAACGGCTAATCTATAGGGTAACTTGGGGGAATATGGTCATTGGTGTAATATGACCCTTGACAATAAATCCCCTAATAGATTGAATAATTAGTTATGGCGAATTAAAAAAAATAGTTCTATCGAAGTGTACATGCAAATTGTCAAAATCTTTAATTGCAGCTTGGATACAGAAACTATTTGTTCAAAGTTATTCTTTGGTCCCTCCAGAATGCTTGTGGAAAGTGCTAGCCCCTTCACTTGCGGTTTGCAGTGTTTTCAATTTTGTCATGCAAGTCAATATGGGGGAATATTGCCATTTCGATTTGGGGTAATATGGACACATCTTTCATGTCATGGTAGCATTGCACTGACCTATTGGTAGTATCAGCTTTCATGTGGGACCTCAGGCAGCAAAATATCACCTAGTGCAGGATATGCTCATGTACAGCCTCCTGGACATCAGCTTGCCATACATTTTCGTAGCGCGAAATTTGAATGCGAGTAAATATCCCTCGTACAAAAAGTTAAAAGGGCATTCTATGATTTTTTTTTGGCGCTATTTATGCATGCATGCAAAAACTACGCAACGTTTTCCTGCAATATAAGACCTCTTATTTCACACTCGTAGCGCATAATCACTTTGATCTATAATTGATCACTCCTCTTACACCCAGTCTCTAGATACAGTCTCCCAATCGTGCAATGCTACTCAAACAATCTCAGCACCAAAAGCGTTGCAATCCTGCTTTCCACAACAGGTCCTTGAGTCAGATAATGATGTCGACTTATTTGCTTGTCCTCAATGCAGTTAATGTGTTTCTTTAACTGCTGAGCCTCCTTATTATGTTTCAAGGTACTCAGCATGTGCCTTGCTGGGATTTAGTAAAGGAGATATCAATAAATATTTTAGAAACGTTGTAAAAGTCAAATTCGACCTTGATGGGCTGTTAAGACCAGGTTTCATTTTTTAGGGCCATATTCCCCCAAATTACCCTACAGCTCATGATTAAGCTAACCAATATATTTGAATAATCATGTGCCTAATTATTGAAGTATCTGAAGAGCTTGCCTTCATCAATAAAGAAGGGTTGTGTCACGTAGGTAATGTCTACTTGTTTGCTGGGGGAACACCAGGGATGGTGATAGGTTCGGGAAGCCAGCCTCATCAAGTTCTGAGGAAATTAAAGCCAAGGTTGAAGATAATGCCACGGGCAGACAAGACGTGTGACAGGTGTTCGTCACAAGGTGCCACAATTTCCTCTGAAGTTGATTATGTTAGTTACCCGCCTCCCTCAAAATTGCTGTACCCACCTGCGAACTGTGCTTAATGGTAGGGCGGACTCTTCGCAGACTTCCTTCAACTGCTTATGAATGTTTTTAACAATATCGTCCTTGTGAGACAACATTTTAATGACTGCCCTTTGTTTCTCTTTGGAAAACTTAGATAATCAGTTGTTTTCCATCTCCGGTACTAAGAAAGTTTTTATCTAAAAAAAATTAGTGACGTTGGATACATTGCCGAAATTTTACCCCGATATCGAAGGAGCATAGCCATTAAGGCACTCAGCATTACATTAGTGCCCCTGGAATGATGAAGGAGCTGTGTCCGCGGTAATCACTACTTTTTGAATGCACCTCGTAATAGCCTAAGAAACCCTTCATACAATATCTGCCCCATTAGTCGAATCAGCAATGCTTTGGAGTTCACCGAGGCTGATTGAGATGCTTGGGGATTAAAGGTCATGCCTTCAGTAGGCGCGACCAACAGGCCAGGAGGCTTACAGACTCCACTCACTTGTCTGACCTCATCCGACCAGCAGTGACCCTCCCCATTAATGTGACGGACCACGCCGTCACGCATAGATAGGTTGGACAAGAACCCCGCTTGCAAACAGGAACAGTGCTGCCAGTTCGTTGAAGGTTTTTTTTTGGTCGCCCATTCCTAGGGGAAAAGTAGGCAACCTAACGAAATGGAATTCTTATGCGGAAAGAGCTAATGCTATTTGCGTGCGCTGCTGAGAAACAGGGGGGGTGGGAAGGGAAAGGGGTGGCAGCAGCTATTTTATGGGCAATCCTCCACTGCCGTTACTACTGTGGTTACTACTACCCTTACCCTCTCCCCTTGAACATCTTTCTCGCCTTTAACGACGTGCTTATCATCCAAGCCTTTCCTCATCCAAGCGTTGAGCACTAGTCTCGGCTCTAGTGAATTGGACAAGATTCGCAGGAGGGAAGAAAGTACCCTGTAGAAAGTGGCGAATTAACCACATTTCGAAATCTGCTAAACTTAGGCGCCATACCCTAACATTGATAATAAATAACATACTGAGGTCATGTGTGTGAAAATTCAACACCAAGTAGCCAAGTCATTCTAGTCACTGCTAGAAGGTAGAGGGTGTTTTAAACGTGGGCACGGGCCTCGATTCTGTTTATTCAGCTTTGATCCCGTTAGAATATACAGGGTGGGCCAAAAAAAAAAGGTAACCGAAGCTGGAATATAATTAATGATTTTATTTATTTATACACGCATTTGAACTGCATTTGCCCTGATCCATAGCTTCGAAAATAGTGTTCAACAATCCATACATGCTCCTTGACAGAATACTGAGGCGTGATAATTATCCAATGTTGCCCTGAAATGAAAAAGTAAACTCATTTTCAGTGACTTTTTTTTGGCCCATCCTGTAGTTTCTTGTATGCGAATGGGCGGTGCTTTGGCCATGCTTTCCTTGAAAAAATGTCTACTCCTGGGATAGTTTATCGACAGGGCTAGTTTGGGTTGATCAGGAGTAATGCCCTTCTGACAACGTGACAAAAAAAGGCTGAAAGCATATTAGCTGCAATAAACATCATTCTACCGAACGTTGAGACTGACGTAAGTAGATCAGTAGTAGCACAGGAAGGCTTTGATGTAGGTGGGACCTCACCCGGATGTGAAAAGTTTGGATGAGATTATTTTCCGTACTTTGAGGATATCCAGAAGCTTGTCCCCTCGAAACGTCAGTTTTACGGTATTTGTTTACTCAAAAAACCTTTTCCGGTTGGAATACGTTCTTTTTTTTTTAATTGTATGCTTTCACATATGGGGATACATTGATGCCAGAGAAGCGAGAATGAATTTAAGTTTCTATTGGGATTCTTCTGTTTCGAGGGTCACGAAGTGTAAGCCTATGAAAATCTAACAGTCATGTGTGAACTTATTACTTCTCATCTTCATGTGCCTTCTTTCAGTATATTACTTGATTCCCCATGGAGAAAAAGGAATTTAAAGAATGCTTTAATGTATAATACTTTCATGCAACAGCAAGTGCACTCTGTTACCTGACGCAGGTAGGACAGATGGTCAAGTAACCATGGTTTGGAAATGGCTACGTGCATAGCCTGATAATTTTGTTCATTTTATACCATCCTGGAATTTAGTCGACGAACGTGTCCGGAATTGGCATGTGGTGAAACTGATGGGGCAACAAATAAGGTTACTGAGAAGGATCAAAGGAATGCGAGTGATGGGTATGACAGAGAGCGGAAGAGTGAGGAAGGGAAACCACAAATGGGGATGCTATTGTATACCATTATTGATATTAGTGACATAGCACAAGGGAAAGTCAAATAATAAGAACACTGACCATTAATATACCAACTGTACTATATCATTAATCCATTTATGTGCAGAGGTGCTTGCCAACATTCTACCTTGTGGTTTTAGAAGTTGCACCTGGATCCTCAGTGCATGATGTCCTGATGAAAATGTGGTTTGGTGGGTGCAAAGTGTCACAACGAAATTTCAGTGTCAAAGTACCCTACAGAGATGAATATACATTAGGCGTGATTCAAAATTTAGCTGTGACCGACTTGGGAGATACTTAGAGCGAAAGTATGAATTCTTTTTTGTCGCGTTGACTATGGGAAATCCTTGCCAAACTGACTTAAGACATGCACAGGTAATAACAGATTGTTTCAACATGGTCCTGAGGTGGATCCTATTGTGGTACGAGACAAACTTGTACTTGTGTCCTTTCAAAACTCAAGAATGCGTATCAAAAGAGGTATGGAAAGTTGTTCCGTTGATTGTTCCCATTGTCCATGACTTTAACTAGCCTGTTCTCTAAGACGTTGAACAGCGAATGGTTTTGCATTCAAATGTACTGTACGTGACCTCTTTCCTGTTGTATCCGGAACGACCTTGGCGTTCCAGATCTCCCCGATCCCACATTACATGTCCCTGTCACACGTTCTACTAACATTTTGCAAAAAAAAAAGTTGAGGTGAAATGCAGTTATGTTGAGAATACCTACACGAGAATCATGAACGATGATCGATGGATAAAACATTCTGTGGCGCAGTAAATGTGGGCATAGTCGAGGAAATACTTATCAAACACTGACGATTGTGCCTTTGAAGAAAAATGTCAAAATCTCTGGACTGTCCGTTTGAAAAAGTCCCAGGAAGGACGTGTTCTTTCATTACATGACCCATTTAACATTGCAGACAAGAACGAATGATCTGAAATCAATGCTACATGTTGTTTGAGAGCTGAGTGAAGTAAGCGGGCCCATTGAGTTTCCTCTATCCATCTTGAATTGGCTGTATATGCAGAGGAATTTCTGGAAGTTACCAACGCAGAAGGACTTTCGTCAAAGCAATTATATTTCAACAAATAAAACTTAATAATATAAAAAAATTGGTCAGAATCAATTGGGACCATATGGCGATGTGGACATCATATGAAATTCATTAGTAGGAACTAGAGGTGGGTAAATTGAAATTATCAAATGATTCAATTCTGACTTAAATCAAATCCTAAGGTTTCATTTGAATCATTTATTCTTCAAATCAGTCCAATATATAAATCGAAAAAGTGTTTTGCCCTTGGTGATTAGAAATCAGAGCATGTGCAAAACATGCAGGGAATCAGCTTTCATCAAAACAAGAGCATTTTTGTGCTCTAAAGAGTTTGACTATGATTCTTCTTGATAGTGATTAGGATCATGTCATTGATATCATTTAAATTCATTCTTTATATGTGGTTTATGTTTTTAGATTGAATCACTTTTGGAAGTTTTTCTGATGTCAAGGGGCAATAATTTGACTTGCGATTCGCCCACCTGTAGTCCCAACAAGACATTCATCTAGTCACTCGATATGGGAGGGGTTTTTCCTAAGTCCATGAAGTGGCTAGTGATTCAGAGGCAATATCCCAGGAACGTGCGGATACCCTCCCGGGAATAGGTTTTCCCTGCCAGGACTCCCTGGTTAGAATGATGTTTGGGACAAGTCATTGGTCCTGAACATCGACAGATAGTATTTGTGCTCACTTCCTCCACCGTCTCTCTTTTCTTCACACTGAATAGCCGACATGGCTGCTTCCTCTCGCATCCCAGCCTCTAAATATCAAGATATGTAATTAAAAGCACGGATCCCGAGGATTCTCAAGTTTTCACATTCTCACTCCATATTTCGATATTCATAATTTTCACTTCTTTCTGGTTTCGCTATAAAGTCTCTTCTCTTCTAATCATTCAAGGTTTAAGTTTTCATTGTTCTTTCTTTCCTCTAAAATATACTGTAATCTGAAATGAGAAGTGATACTGGATGGGAGAACTGCATGAATTTGGTCGTACACTCTGTGGGGAGCAGGCGAAGGCATAGACGTCTCCCTCCCGTTTGAGGATGTAGGCATGAGAACCTTTGGGGCATCTGCAGTGAAGAGTCTGCGCCGTCGCATTCCGCCGTGATAACTCCACCGTCCACGTAATGTCTCGGAAGTACCTGCATTTCGGCAGCTCCGACACCTTCTCACATATCTGCCCAACACAATAATGATATGAACATTAGGAACTCCTTCTAGTATACTTTGCAATGAGGATATATGCTTTCAACCTTCCAGAGCTTTTGCCGATAATGAGCTGTGAAACGAAGTAGCACTCATTCAGAATAGCAGAATAGTGCTTTTCATCTTTATGAGACGACTGTGGCCCACATCGGCACCACATGCAAGTACGAATGTTTATGATGCGGTAATTCTTTCTACTCCCCCAAGACTTCTCGTATCTAACTTCGCTCGTGAAAATTTAAGGCTCCCTTTTTAAAGGGAGCCGGGGTTCGAAAAAAAGCCACCCGGAAAAAAGACCCCCAGAATCGACAAAAACGGAAAAAAGCCACCCGAGATGAAAATGCAAAAAAGCCACCCGGGTCATTGCTTAATAATTTCTCATTTATATATACGTATTATATTTTATACGTATCAGATGATTAAAGACATTCTCTTGGCGACCTTAAGACACATTCATGCAGTTATGTGACTGTTTAATATTGTTTATGTTTTTAATATTCAATGAATTGCCACCAATTTTTCAATTAATATATTATTGATTTTTCGTTTCCATTCATTGAGAATGGAAAAGGCAAAAACATCTCTCAATTGAAAGCACTTCTTTAAATCGATTCTATAGAAATATTATTTTCCTACATTCATAATGTAGGGAAGAACTGTCCCGTTATGAACATGGACTTCAACAGACTTAGGGACTGCGGATGGAAATGGGGGTGGGGGCAATGGGCGGTTCAGGGTGGTGGATTGAGGAGGGGAGCTAATCCTGATCCTCTCCACCCCCCGGAAAAAGAGTGAAAGTGGATATGAGGAAGATAAAATAAAAATAAAAACCTTACATGGCCCCAGAGCAATTGTTATTTGAGAAAAAATTCTAAGAAGTGCAGAGAGAGTGCAATCATATCCTGCGACACGGCCAAAATCAAAAGATTTCCACCCATAATATTCATTTTTAAGGAATGGGCTGAAGTTGGACTTTGTTTTATGTTTCATAACATTTCAGTGAAGTTGATCAAATTACATGACATCAATATCACTAAATGTCGCAAAAATGAATGAGTCTTTAATCTGACCTGAACATAATTGGATGGCACTTTTCTGCCTTTGCCTAATCTGGGGGTCTTATTTCCGAGTGGCATTATTCCGGGTGGCTTTTTTCCACCTTTGCCAATTCTGGGGGTCTTATTTCCGGGTGGCTTTTTTCCTAAAACCTTTTGTAAATACTCAAAATGCTTCCTCAAAAGGCCTTTGTGATAAGAGTTTGCTAGAATAATTATTATGTTGCATTGCATTTGGTGTGGGGGAAATTGTCGCACGTGTACATATGCCCTGTGTGTGCTTTGTGCTACTCCCCGTTCAAGATATTACAGTATTAAAGAAAAAAAAAAGAGGTGCAATAGGCTACCTTGAGGAGTTGGTTGCGGTCGGTGATGGTGTGTCCGTCGTAGGGACCTATAGCCAGGGAACACTGGTTCGACCCCGGGCATCGACATTGTCTTTCCACCCACGGTGTGGAGTACGTGTCCACCTTGTTGCAAACTTCATACGGCCCGCATTCCGACAGGTCTTCTTCTCCTTCCTGTGCATGCCCAGAAGCAGAAAAGAGAGCGAGAGAGAGAGGGGAAAAAGGGAAGAAAAACAGATAATGATGATGATAGGTAATTGCAGGCGGATGTCGGGGGTCACCCAGAGGGGTCACCTCCCCAAGGGGCACCGGGATTCCTGGAATCTTTCCCAAAACCTTTCCCTACCCCCTTCATTCATAGGTGTCTCTCTCTTGTTCTTCCGCTCGCCTTTATCTTTTTCTCCTATTCTAATCTTGACATGTATCGACGGGTGTGACATATCTGGTGATGGATCTTGAGATTTTCCCCCTCCATACGGGCTAGATGATTTGAGGTATAACCTTGGCCTCTTGGGGGGGGGGGGACTTCCGGTCCTCTGTATGAAATGGCTCACCCTCGAGCAATCTTCATTCATTACGAGGAATACCAAGAGATACCTGCAATCACGTAGCTTTTCCTATTGAGTGTTCATATAAGCTACTAGCTCAATGGGATTTCCATGAAGTTCACCATTGAGTTGCATCAGACTTTGAGAATTCAACCACACTAGTCTTAAATGCAGTCTAAGTTCAGTGATGAACATTTGGGCATGTTTCCTTTTGTTCATGCATAGGGAAAATCGACTATGATTTCCAAGAGTAAAAAGTAAAACCTCGGCCAAATGTATGTCAGTTAAGCATGAAATTGTCACGAGGGGAAGAATTGAGGTCGCAAAACATTTACGTCGTTGAACGAAATTTTGAGGGTCTGCTTGGCTTGAAATTGGCGTTTTATGTGTTAGTGATAATGTGTAATAATACTTAATGTTAACACGTAGACATTTGCAAATATTTATTGTTACGCATAAACATTTGCAATAATACTTATACTGTAAATAAAACTGTAATTTTAGGGATAGCAGATACTCGATATCTTGCCCTATGGATTCAATGGGTGGGTCTGTTCTAAGTTCTGGCATGCCTTGATTCTGTTTTGCTGATTGGTGTCCTATAGGATCATGGTTATCTATCGATTCTAGAAAATTATCTTGTTGGAATGATTTAGAATTTGTGTTTATGGAATTCCTGGCTGTTTCTGTGCGCCTACATTGCAGCGAAGTACTTGGCCTTTCTCGCAGTCAAGATTGCCCCAGAATGAAATGCATGCATGAAACGCAGATGTCTATGGCACAATGCCACGTCGGGTAGACCAAGTCTCCTTAACACTTTCACTTCCGTTCACGCCATATGGCGTGTTCGGCACGACGAACTTCCACTGCTGTGCTTGGCAAGGAGAGGTTGAGTGGGCATTTAAATCCTCGGCAGTCAAAGGGTTAATTGGAGGCTCAACTCCGATAAAATCATTGCTGTTTAAGCATGACCGAGGGACTTGCTTAGCAGACAACTCTGGGAAATTCATATTTGATACTTGCATCAATAAGTTTAAAACTTTGACCGAGATGAGAAGTCACATGGTAGTGAAGTTCACTAGATAAAGAAGTTTCTAAGCTTCTGTTTTGGTATAAACTCAACCTGTGAGTAATTTTTCTCTTGTGCAGGGAATCCGCCTCAAAAAGAAGGGCAGGACTTGTGAAATTTTGTACTTTTTAAATTATTATAGCAGCATTCAGCACAAAGGTATCCAAAAATCTAAGGTGGACTAGTGTTCAAGTTATGCGCAATGATTGGAGGGTCATGATGTGATCACACTTACACAAATACCACATTTGAATAAATTTTATTTTACTGTTGATATTTCCCCCCAAAAATGAATCAAGTGTCATTTTAAGACCTTGGACCCCTTTCTCGCCTCTGGAACTGGACAAAATGTAAACTAAATCATCAAGATCTTAAATAACTCGGAAGTCGTAACGGTGCTTACATTGGTCATCTTTTTGTTTTGCCTGCTTTGAGATTTAGACTGGATGAGGAATGCATTTTGCGCTGGAGACTGCTACTAGATAGATTCAGATTGAAATATGTCAGGCAGTAAATTCGAAAGGAAAAAAAAAAGTATATCTCATGGAAAATAATTGGGGGAATTGAAAAGGTTTGTTTATATTCTTACCGAATGCAGACAGGATTGAAAGATATGTGTTGTTGCGAATGTTTTGATGAATCTACGAATACCAGATCACGTATTCTTACTCAGAGTATGGGGTGAAATACGAAGGCGAAGCCAAAAGACTTGCCACCTATTTTCTAAATTGGAAAGTGTACATCCTACACGCTTCAATCACTTGATACGTACATATCGCTTTACGCGTAAACTGCACTTGGTGCTCTTTTTTTTTTCTCACATTCTTCATCTACGCCTATACACCTCTCCCAGGGATGTCCGAGAGCCTGTATTCCACTTGGGTTCAAGTCCTCCCTTAGTTAACGAAGCCAATGATGTGTCGTGCATTTCACTATTTGGTAAATACAAACAGAGTTCCTTTCAGGTTTTTTTTTTTCCCGCACGGAACTAAGCAAATGAAATATAGAGTGGCCAAATCAGGAATTTTACCCTGATGCGGATGCTCTGTTCATTGTCACTTGCTGGTGAGGACTCGGTTGAAAATTACAAGGTTGTGCAATGTACTACTGCGTGTTGCATTTTATTCGTTAACGAGAGGTTTATCAACGTGCAATACTGGCTCTTCGACATCGAAGGGAAAATTGTTTAGGCCTAGACGTAGTTAAATAAACTACGTCAATTTTGAAACATAGGAGCATGTGCAACATGTAGTGATCTCATCGTTCTTGTGTGACTAAAGCATGTAGAATTTATACTTTTCGAATAGTATAATTATTTGACGAGACTTTTGGGTTCGCCCTCCTAGAAAGCAATTTTCTGACACCTCAAGGATAGTAAAACTTTGCACAGAAATTCTTTGTGCCCCCGGCATCAAAGAATCCAGAAGTACGGTTTCTCTTTACGGAAGTAGCAGATTGATCCATTTCATATTTTTCGAAATTTTTAGTCTGCGCTTTTCCCTTTATTTACGTTATAATTGTAAAGGAACTGCACTTGAGGAATGCAGTGACATTTTTCATGAAAGATTTACGCGGCCATAGTCGAACTGGGGATCGTTAAAGTCAACCCTCTTTCTACATGAAGGAAAAGGCGAAGGACTCACCCCAACCTGGTAGAGAACTTTCAGAGGGAATTTGGAGGCGGAGGCAAGGAAGACAGACACGAGGCACACCGCTGCACACAAAATCATCTTCCCGCTCTGATGATAATATGATCATGAAGGAAGGCGCTGGGCCCTGGTTGGATGCATGAATGAAGGGATGCATGAATGGATGGAGCCTGGAATGAATGAATGGAAGGGAGAGGAGAGAGGGGAAGGTGGATTCCCTCGAGGGCAAATTCACCTGACGAGGGGGTCCAAGGTCCCTCTGAAGATTGCCTCTTCCGGTTCACTCCATTCCCTCTAGCTTCCTTCCACTTCATTTCATTCATTCATTCATTCATTCATTCCTTTCCTTTTTCCGCTCCTCTTTTCGTGCCTATAAGGAGTGGCCTCCATCCGGTCATGGGATCCTCTCCCGTCTCCCTTTTTTTTTTTTTTTACTTGACTCGTTGCGTCATCTTCATGTCATTTTCATATAACAAGGGACATGGAGAGATTGAGAAATGCTTTTTTTTTTCCTCGTCTCCTCTTTCATGGCCTTGCTCATCAAAGACTTATAGTGGCTCCAGGAAGGCGCCTCGCCTCTTCAATTTCCCTTGTTCACTCACACTGGACGTAAATTATACACCTCTATACACTTCTCCCTGTCTCTTCCATGGATAACCGGAGATTAGTGCGGCGCCAGGCCCGCGCTGTTCTCGTGTTCTTTTTTTTTTGTCAGGAATATTCACTGTTACAGCCAAATTTAAGCTAAGATTCAGTTGTAAAAATTTGTCTGAAATTTATGGTTTTATTCTCCGCGAGACCCGAGAAGGAATTCTTTTGGGGTGCGTGGTATTTGTGTCAATGTCATTTCGGATATGACTATAATATTTTCTATGATGAGTTGTTGGGGCCGCATTGCGTGGCCTGGCTTTGTGATCCAGTTCCTAAAACTTAATTTTTTTAGTTTTGGAAGTCAGCTTTGCCTGCATGATTTTCACAATGAAATAGACAAAAAATAGATTGTGGTGACATTGATTTGAGCCCGGGTCATTTTTCTTCTCGGTTTTAATTGGAATTGACTTCAATTTCAACTGTATCTGTCATTTTTGCGCTTCTAAAATATATTGACGTCACGATTAGGTATTTAAATGAATAGCATTAAAACTTAGGTGTAAGTCGAATCTTTGTTCTTGATTTAATAGCAGTGGCGTATGATTGCTTGGAATGTTAGGGAAAGTGTACGGGGTGCTGGCACGGAGGCATGGGCGAGTGTTGAAGGAGGATCTGAGAGAAGGCTCGTCCGTATTTAGGGTGACGGCCGCCGTCCCAGTGGTGGAGAGCTGGGATTTCCCTGACGAGATCCGCAGCAAGACCTCCGGCTTGGCCCTCCCTCAACTCTTCTTCTCCCACTGGGAGGTCAGTTCTCTTCCCTTCGCCATAGGACGGAGACTAATGCCGTTTACATTACAATACATTCGTAGATAGGTGATAGGCATACAAGCATGGGAATTCATATCTGATACATTATGCTCAGTTATGCAGTGCCACCTTTTGGTTATTCAAATAATGGACAAAAGCTGACTGCTGACAATGGGAAATAGGGTGACTCCCATAAGACTGACAAGCTAAGTACGAAGAATGATGCAAAAGTTTCTGCCCTGAGGTAGTAGGAATGATGGGAGAAGGCTAAAATTTGGTTCTCATATTCCTTCACCCTTTTTGGTGATTTCAAGAGTCTGCAATTGGTTTTAGGTGAATTTATATTTATTATAATAATTTTGTATATAATATAAATTTCAGCCAAAAATTTATTAACTTCAAAGTGGAAAAATCGGAATACGGAGAAGGTTTAAAGAATTAAGAATTAAGGTTAAAGAATTTAATTTTTAAGACATAGACCTGGGATAGTTAGTGTGACAATCTTCCATGTTTGTATTTTTCTTTGATATAATAACAGCTTGCATTACTTTGTTAAGTCTTGATTTATTGCAAAAGTAAATGTGTCAGATATAAATGGGACACCCTGTATAAATTTAAAGCAAAACTTCATGTGAAGCGGTCACGAAGGTGAAACTGACAATGACGTCAATTCAGTGAAGCTGTTCAAGCATTTTTACTTGACTGCGGAAAATAAATTTTTTGAATAAAATTGAAGCCCTGCTCCATCAATCGAATAAGTATTGATGTCTAGGGAGGTATTGCCGAAAAATAAAATTTGTTTCAACAGTCTATCAAATTCCTTTATATCTCAGGGCAGAAACTTTTGGATCCCCCTCGTAGCCTTGCAGGAAGAAAAAGGGGAGAATGCCCGAAGTCCTGAAATAAATTGA